GAAGTGGGAGGAAAGGAGGTGACAGAAGAAAGATGACTTGACGATCTCATGGCGGTTTCCCAGGCTGCAGTGGCAACCCTTTCTCCCTTTCCCTTTCTCTTTCTAAACGACACACGGACAGGGGCCAAATGTTTTGCCTCTGAAGAAGAAAATCAAAAGCGAAACACTGTCACATAAGTCCCCCAAGAAGACAACCTGTACATCTTTCTCAAAGTACATTATATTTATTGATGAGTTAGAGACATTAAATAGATGTTTTTACTCTGTTGCGACGGCCTATGTTTTTCTAGTCATTTTCAGATTAATCCGGTTTTTAATCATTTGTTATAACACAGTAAGTTAGAGTGGGTTTGTAAAGCCTATGTTTGACCGGCTTTGGCCATGGAACAGCAGCTGTTTAGCAGGTTCCCCCCCACGCTGCGGGGAGTCGGCTTGTGTTTGCAGCAGCGGGCTTTAGATGTTTGTCGAAGGATTGAAGGGGTGAAGTGCTTCTGGGTCTGTTTGTGTCATTGATGTGCAGGACTGTGAACGCTCCTGTGCACAGACAGATTGACAGGTCCAACAGGCTGCGCTGCACTTTGTCACAACTCCAGCTTCACTAAATCCGTCGCTTTTGTGTGCGTGTCAGAGAGGGAGGCAGCAGCGAGGAAATGTGTCATGTGCTGTTGTTGATGCCCCCGTTCCCACTTGACAGGGTGCTGATCGAGCACCTGTTGACTTTTTAACCCTGTTTCTCTCTTAAGTTGCTCTGCAAACTTTGTAAATTGCAGAGTTTAGGTTGTTGGGGTTTAAGTCCACAGTCGGCGTTGTTATGCAACATTGAAATATTTAAATCGCATTTTTATAGAGAGGAGCCCCGAGAAGGTTTGAATGTCAACAGCTGGCATGTCTGATAATCTCCTTAACATACCAGCTGACACTGAGGGGAAAAATCTGTACAATCACATTTGTAAAGAAACTGATTGCGATCTGGTATGATCGCGCGCAGGAGAAACGTGCTGTACTTCTGCCTGCTGAGCCACAGATGGTGCCCTGTCAACACAGATGTGTTTCAACGCGTGGCGTCAGCTTCGCTCTGCATGTGACAGGGGAATGGTATACTCTCAAGGCCATTCCTGACCCCACCCCCGTACCCAAACACGGCACAGGACGGCCTGTTTAGTATTGACACAGGTTAAGATGGTCCGATTAGCTTCTTTTAAAAAGACACGGCCTGAAATACCCTCACTGGTTTTGCTTACCACCTCCACTAATTGGTACCTTTCTGTGATAAATAAGTTCACCACCTCCCCACCCATTCCAGAACGGTTTCTAATTTCCCAGCCAGCCTTTGTGTCCTGGCTGTGCACTGGAGGGAGTTTTTCCAGCCTTTTTTCTCCCCAGGCACACACTGCAGCCAAAGTAGAGCAGTTTACTGCTTAGGCACCTGAGTCGGTGTGACACACCTTCCAAACACACGCTGCTCCTTGTGGCAGCATGTGTTCAGAATCCTCAGATGTTTTTTCCCCCCCTGTGTTTGCATTTAGCTCTGCTTCAGTTCAGGTGATGTCTTTTAACCCCCGTTTGTCCCAGTTTCTGCACCCAGTATTATATCTTTGATTCCACCAGTCCCACTGCTCAAGTCAACATGATTAAATAATCATGTTGACATTCATTAATGAAAGGAATTTCATTACTTTTCTTTGTAGACTTAAATTGGATTCTGATTAAAGTGTTCTTTGTTGTGACTTAGCTTTATGATAATACCTAGATCATTGTTTTATTTTCTTTGTGATGCAATATGGGTGTTATTTCTTTGAAGCAGAACAAACTGTAGAATATTTGACTTGTTCTGACTTTGGGCTAATATTCTGTGACCAACTTTAAGTGGGACTAAAAGCTTCAAGTTGTAATTATCATGTAGTTTGCTGGTTTCACAATCACCAGCAAAGTATAATTTTAGCCTCTAATCAACTTAGTCATCGATGGTAATTGGTGGTAGCTGATGGGACCCTCTGCTGGCCATGTTTGCCATTTTAACCCCAGAAAGCATCTGTCACTGTTGGCTAAAAAAACAGAAGCCAGCTAAATGCTCCGTGCACTGCTCTTTGCTAATGTGGGCGGCAGAGAATGGGTCTAATTTGCTGGTCTGGGTGTCAGATCAGAGCGCAACCCAATTTTTCAGATTTGAGCGGTAATTATCGCTTGCATATGCTGTCTAGGCTCTGCACTGTGGGGTCGTCATACATGAGCGTGGAAGCGAAAACACTTGCAGACTGAGTTCACAAATATGGCCGAGCACAATAAAGCAACGGTTGGGTTTGGATGCACTTCAGCGGATGCACGAACAAGCAAACTAAGATGTTATCAGTCAGGCAATAACCATGTTTTAGTTTATTAGGAAAACAGTAAGCGAAGTTTACATTCGAATTTCACACAAGGTGGATAGCGATGGTTTGGAGGAGTTTAAACACCCTAAGTATGGGTGTAAGAACATGCCTAACCCGAATGACTATCAAAAGCAGGTTATGCTTATTTGAAATGTAAGTTTTTTTTCTTTGCAGTGAGGCTCTAAGCTTTTTGTCTGCTCAGTCATTTGATGTTGATAATTAATCTGAAGTAACAGTTAATTATGAAATCAGTTAATCATGAGCATATCTGCATTATAGTTAGAAGATAAGAGCTGGCTGAAAGAGATAGTTGACACATTTTTCCTATAATGGTGTCGCATAGCAAGCATGCCACATCCAAAGCAGGAACAGATGTTTGTCAGGGTGTTGGTTTAAAATGCACAGAGGCACAGTTTTTGTATTTACCTTTGTGCATTCATTTCAGATGAATAGCTGTTATTTTTTATAAAGGTGTGTGAATTATTCACTTTGTTAGTCTGCACTACAAAAAGACATCGTTTGTAACATTTAGAATCAACTGAAACAATTATACGGCACGTGGCAGTTGTTTGTACATCACATTTATCATTGCCTCACATGTCATAATGGCAGCAGCACTTCTCATTTGTTAGCTGTGCCCACTTTAAAGGTGGCGGCGGGCCGGCGTTTTCCCCAGCTGACTCTGGGAGAAGGTGGTAAATGACAGGCACCAGTCTTTTTAGTTATCTCTGTAGGTGGTATTATCCTGTTAGAGTTCTTTCTCTCTCCTCCTACACCGTCTCCATCTGCCTCACTTTCTCTCCCTGCTCCTTTTTCTTTAATCCTCTGCAGAGTAGGTGTGTCAGCGCACCAGAGACAGGGAGAGAAGACTGATATTTGCTTAACCAAATCCTCAGGGAGGCAACCCTCTTTGATCCACTTCCAAATTCACTGCGTCCACTCTCATTCGGTCATTTGTCACTTGTGCTGTCGCCTCGGTTCTCTGTGTTTGTGCGCCTCTGCACGGCCGTGTGTTGGCAGGGAGAGGAAAGCCCACAGACAATGCTCTGCATTTTGCCACGCTGCCTTCTCCTTCCTCCTTTCTCGTCCCCGCTCTCCTTGTGCAGTTTGCCTTTTTCGTTGTGCGCTGCTGAGGTCACGCTGGCACAGGCAGGCATCAGAGCCGCTGTGTGTGTGTGGGTGTGTGTGTGTGTGTGTGTGAGACAGAGTGGAGGTACTGTTTTGTTCCAGAGCGTATCGGCTTGAATGGCAGGGTTAGTCAGGGCTTGCCCCTTTGTTTTACACACAGGGCCACACACTAAGCAGACAGACACACACTTGCACGCACAACCCACCTGCAAGCGTTCCCTTATTGACTCTAGTTATCACCACCTCTGTTTTTGCGGGTTAGCCTTTTGAAACGTATCACCCTTATTTGTTGTGGAGCGCCACAGATATACTTTATCCATGTCTGAAATCACATGATAAGGAGAAGATCCAGCTCTCAGAGCGATTTGACAAAAGCAAATAAGGCACTTTTGTATCAACAAAGCAGCTTTCTCTTTTGCACTTTGGTATCTGTCAGGCGTTTTCTTTTTGTTCTGGTGTTCAGGCAGAAAAGAGTGGGAGATGTTCCAATGTTCCCTCTCTGCCTCTCTTCTCTCAGCTGTGTCTTCTTCTGGTGTTGTTTATCTGCCGTGCTGCATATTAAACTCACACGATCCCATGTCTGCTTCCCCACAGTGAGCACCTGTCCTGCGCCTTCACGTTCTTCTTACACGGTGATAGTAACGTGTGCACCAGTGTGGAGATCAACCAGCACCAGCCCATCTACCATCTAACGGAAGAGCACCTCACTCTGGCCCAGCAGGCGTCCAGTCCATTTCAAGGTGGGGCCTAAACTCAGCATGGTTTTTAAATTGCAACGGGACATGATTTTAAAACATTGTTGACCCGTGCGTTCAACACATGCTGTGATATTTTTGAAAGATCTCTTTATTCACTTAAGCTCAATGAAAAATTTGTCTTTATTTGCATCTGTGAAATCTTTAAATGGACCAAATATGGATAATATGCAAAAATGCATGAAAACAGTTTGATTTAAAGTTGTCTGTCATTTAAATGATCAGTCTGCTTATGATGCGTTTTATATTCTTGCTGAGATAATGCCCATATTTATTGTCTGTCAGACTTATTAGAGGTTGGCTCGCTGCCAGTCTGAAAGACAGTCCTACATAGTCGGTGTGAGATATATTTCTGCAGAATTCTAAAAATCTGCAGCTGTAATGATGTTTCATCACCGGTTGCCTCAGGCCAAAACTGAACTATTTTATTCCAGAAATATTACCTGTCTCCTTCCTGTCCCACTCATCCATGTTAATGTAATTACTGTAATGTATACTCTGTCCTACATGTGTCGCAGAGAAAATGGTATGCTCTCTGACAGCCGCAATTTGACGTCAAGTGTCACTCAGTTGTTTTGTGGATGTTTGTCAGAGATTTGAGAGGTTTGAAACTTTATGCTGGATGGTCAGAAAACATCCTGTGATTTCATAGTCAGTTTCATGTCAACGAGTGGTATTTATTTATTTTTTGACTTCCCTGTGCTTCATATTTGTTTATTGTGGCTGATGCAGCGTACCTGGAGAGCATAGGAACAAATGAAAAATATGAAAGCTATAAATAAGACGTGTTACTCGGGAAGATATTGGCAAGAAGACGACGGCCTTCATTCCCTGATTGTCTGCAGGTCTCGCTTTTAGGTTAGTTGTAAATCCACTAAAAAGGCAGCATTTTGACTCGTTCTCTTTAATGTGTCCTGCCCTTTAACGCAGATTAAGCCAACAGTATTCCCACTCAGACTATGTGCTGTCCTGCAGCCTGACGGGCTGCCTGCTGCTGTCATTGTAGGAATCCAGTTACTCTTTTTGCTGTTTGTTTGTGCTTCGGTGTGTTCCTGTTAGTGGCCATCAATAATCTTCCTTTTTTTTTTGCCTGGAGAAGGGCCGCCCCTTCTCCTTTATAAACTGGGCTGTCCAGCTAGTAATATTTCTATTTAAAATATAAAATGAAATCCAGCTAATGCAATTGTTAATTAGAGGAGGGGTTGAGAGAATTTAATGTAAAAGCAGAAATTTATAAATGGCCCAATAAATAAAATAATACATCTAAAATCTTCCAATTTAGACACAATTTATTACATCCACTCTAATTTTCAAATATGAAATATCTTAGACGAAAATATCCCATTTATTTATTGTAGTGCATTTTTTATAATGAATTGGGCGTTCAGATTCTTTTTCTTTTAGTCATTTCAACACATATTTCCTCCTTGATATATTTTGTACACTGAGGCCTGGAAATCTCTGTGGCTCTCGGGTGTTTGGTCGTTAATACTGAAGATGTTCAGACGTCGGTGGCAGATCCACATGGATCATGCACCTTCCTCCTGACTGACCAACAGCAGAGAAACAATCCCCACAAGACAGATCCAGGACGAAACACCTTATTTTCATAACGAAGCAGAAATGAAAATAAAAAGGCCTGTGGGAAGTCAGAAAATTCAAGGGGGAAATAAGGCACATGAATGCATCTTCAAATAAAAGAAAACCTGTCAAATAAAACACATAAATAATGTGTAAGTAGAAGAAGTCTTAAATATGCAAAAAATAATTTTCTTTTAGAAGAGATCTCGAATACTTTTTGATCTTAAGAATTGAACTTTTTATAAAGAAAAGAAGTTTCGTGACTGAAGCTCAGAGGAGATATTTTTAGAATTGGTGATTCAGCCATCATCTGTCTGTACGCCCCCCTCAGAATAATAACAGTGATCACCTCCTCCATTCAGCACAGTGATTTCTGTAGAGCCAACCCCTTTAATGTCTCCAGAGCCCTCCTGAAGGGAGGTGATAATACTCCTCAGGTAAAGACTAGTGGACTGAATCAAAATGAAAATCGTATTATGTCTTTGCGTATGGATCCCCATAGAGTTAGTGATGGCTCTTTTTTGTCTTGTTTATATTTTCACCAGCTAATTGATCCTTATTTCACTCATGGATGAGTGAGCCTTTGCTTCACCCTGCGCTGTGCCTCAGTTCTGTCGCACAGGACTGTCTTCTTTTGACACAAACGTTCCTCCTCTTTATCTGGTGTGAGTGTAAGCCGCTTATGGTTCGAGTGCTGCGTTATGAAGGACTGTGATGATATTGATCTGCTAGCATGTTGTTGTAATCCTCATGGCGTGGAAACGCCCGCCAGCGCTCATCGAGGAGCCCACTTCCGATACTTTTTGGGTGAAAACGACGAGGCACGCTTGTCTCCGCAGTGTGTGTTTTACGAGCCGCGCGCAGGTGTGTGTTTTCGCTGCTGCAGAGTATCTCCTCCCGGCTAACCAAGCATAGCATCGAGGAAGAGCTGACTTCCACCCCCCTTCATCCATCCATCACACCCCCCCCCCCCCCCCGTCTCCCTCCCAAGTCACCTCTGCCAAGCTTGGTTTACTGCGCGGCGAAGCGCTCCGGCACGCAGACTTCTCCAGGATGTGACCTCATAAAAGGGCGCAGAGTGAATGTAATGAACTCTCAGCGCATTACACTGATCTGAGCACATTTGACATGTCTTGAGGTAGCCAGAGATAGACTTGCGGCCTTAGAGAGAGAGGGGGGGGGGGAGCAGAAGGGATGGTGGAAGGGAAAGAGAAGGTGGTGCTGGTGAAAACGGCAAAACATTTACATAATTGTGCTGAATTTGATCTCCTGTACAACTGGCCTCAGGTCTGGAAAGTCTTAACAGTAAGAAATGCATAAATTAAAGGAGAAGCACTGCGATTGTATTGAGAGGAGGTCAGTATGAGCAGCTATAGGTGGACGTCGCTGCGAGCAGTACCATGAACGTACTTTCATTCTGCTCTCTGCTCCCATCGTCTGCTTTGCCACTTCAGGAAGTTCTGGAAGTGCACATTTTCTCAATCTTTTTTTTTTATCACATAAAATTTTTCAATGTCAAATAATCCAACTGCCATGTGGGCTCATTTAAGAGTTAATCACTTTGTTCTGGTTCCGGTGCACCTGCTCCGCCGCTTTGATCTCCCCCCACCAGCCACAGCCTCCAGTTTCCACAGGTTGAAACCAGTACATGAAAAATGTCCAAACTTCCCTCAGACCCGTAATCATTGAAAATCAACTCCTGGTCGATTTGGCAACGGAAAAGGGTTACCATAGTAACGGCACATGCCGTTAAACAGTCCAGTGCTCCAAGCTAAAAAAGAAATCTTTATTTATTAATCTATTTACATTCAACAGCTTTAAAAAATGTTTTAGCTTGATGGTGGTACCGATCAATAACTGGTTTGGTAGTTTACTGTTTAGATGGGTCTCAACTGCTGTTTAAGGTTAAAACCACAGATTGAAGATAAGAAGAGGTGTGCAGAAGCTTCCACAAAAGGAAAAAGGAAAAAAAAACTTGTATGCTAGTTAGCTGGATGGTTCATTTCTGTCCCACTGTAGATGCACCATGAATGGGAGCTTATTGATCCACATCACACAGAACTGTGGTATTATGGAGCCCTTATTGTTTTTCAATGGCTTCTAACATTAAATGCTGAGATGTATTTCATTCTTTCTTCACGCATTAAATGTGATGAGCTGAAATGCAATTATATTATTATTTTTGCCCTTTGTTGATTGGCACTTATTGTTTTTTTTGCACTGCAAGTTCTTTAGCTTTTAAGTTTGAGGTTTTTGGCAGCTGTTGAAGCATTAGCACGTTCCTTCCTTTTTGCATTCTTAGACCTCCTATCAAGTGGAGTTTTCCTTTTTTAAACGGAGATCAAAGGGAAACTTTTCTTGACCCAGATTGCAGATGTTCTTCGGTTGCTTGCTGTACACTTAAATCCTCCAATGAGAGCTGCATAACAGTGGAAATAAGAAAAAAGAGCTTCAGTAGTAGTTAGTTAACCCTTTTAGCCTATACTTTCATTTAAAAGAGCTTAGTTTCAGTAGGCTTAAACCGCCCATGAAGTCTTTTTGTCATGAAAAGGATGCGTGCATCACTTCTGGCTTTAAAGGTTAAACAACGTTTGTGTGGCTCAAAGCTGTAAACCTGCCAATTAGAACATGCAAAGCTGCATAGTTGATATCAAAACCTGAAATCCTCTGAATTGTTTCTATTGTGTCCCCCAGTGCTGGTCAGCAGGGGCAGATCCACCACTTTAATACAAAGAATTCAAACCTTTTATTAATTTATTTTTTAATTTTTGTGAAAAATCTCGATTTTTCCGGGAGCATCCCAGTTGCCAGGCTCCTCTCCTTCATTTTCTTTCTTTTCACTTTTTCCATTGTCCACTGCCATTTTTCCTGTCATGAAAGCTCCAGCCCCGGATCAATACCTGAGGACTGAAGCCATCCAGTCTAGTAATGACGTACTAGAAAGGCCGAGCATAGAGGGACATTAACAAATGCTCACCTGCACACCCACACAAACAGTCAGCCAGCCGAGCCATTACAGCCCTCCACCACATTCCCATGCGTGATGCACTCGGTGTTGATATGAATACATGTTGCTGGTTGAAATGCTGTGCTCACATGCATGCATTATGCATTGTTTTATGGGGCTATCTGCGTCGGCTGATGGATGCTGGGCTGTTCAATAAGCGCAGTGATTGGCTCTCTGTCTGTGTCTGATGCATTCATGAAGTCTGGTGTGTTTGCCAAGCAGTAGCCCTCTTTATAAGCCTCTGTTTATGTGCTCTAGGAGGCTGCCGCTTTCCAATAATTGAAGTTTGAAAAAGCTCGGAGGGCTGCTGATTTGGCTGGGGATGGCAGAGTGACGATGAAAGAAAACTTGTGTTAAAGGCATGGCTAGAAAATCAAGATACGATGAATAGGCTTATTGCAAGTCTCTGCATTGGAAGGAGGGGATGTGGTTTTAAGGAAAATTCAGGTTGGAGGTTTAACGTTTTAAGGACAGAAAAACAGTTAATGCTTGAATGGAGGCAGATTAAAATGGGGACATTTGATAGGTGAAGAATGAAATTGTAATACCATCAAATTTCAAAATCTCCCACAAAGAGGAAAAATTCTAAAATGGGAGGCAGACATAGGACAAAGAGCAAACCAATAAATAATAGCAAAGCAAAAGTAGGGTAAAAAACAGACCAAAGGACAATGAGAAATGAAATACATTGAAGATGATTAATAGTAACTGTACTGATGCATTCTACCTTCTCCTTTCTTTCTTCCCCCTGATCCCGCTCCCCTCTATAGTCATCCTAAGTCCATTTGGCCTGAATGGGACGCTGACTGGCCAGTCATTCAAGATGTCAGACCCCCCCACCCAGAAACTTATCGAGGAGTGGAACCAGTTCTATCCCATCAGCCCTGGTGCCAAGGAGAGGGTGTCCGAGGACAAGGTGGAGGACATCGACTGGGAGGATGAATCTCTGGCCTCTGTGGAGGTCCTTGTTGGTCAGTTCTCGTGTCGTAGGATCACTTTTTACTTTGAGCTGTCGATGCTGAATTCAGCTCCTCTCTGAACCTCCATCTGCGTGTCTGCTTGTGTCTGGTCTGTAGGTGGTGTTCGCATGGTTTACCCAGCCTGCCTGGTGCTGGTACCCCAGTCAGACATCCCCGTTGTGGCCCCTGTGGGGTCCTCCCACTGCACTGCCGTCTACTCGGGTGGCCACCAAGTGCCTGCTTCCCAGCGAGAGCCTGCCATGTCTTTGGTGACCCTCACCCCCCCCACATCACCTGAGGAGGTGCACACAGGTACAGAGTGTAGGGTTAGAGGACTTCCCTGAAGTCTTAGGCTTTGGTGCTTCATATGTTCTCTTATCTTTCCCCCTACCTCTCCAGTGGACTCTCACTCGGCCCAGAAGTGGGTTAAAATGACCGCTTCATCCGACTTGTTCAGCGCCAACAGAACAAGTCACCATGGAGGAAAGATTCCAAGACGGCTAGCCAGTCAGTTAGTGGAGCACGTCTGGCAAGAGTGCAATATCAACAGAGCCCAGAACAAGTGAGTATGCCACCAGGTCTCACATGTGGCCCAGACTGATTCACATTATTAATTAAATGTTTTAAAAAAACAAATTGATTCAGTCAGCAGTGTGAACACTACTCAAAGATTGACTTCAAGATTCTTTCAATAAGTGGCACTTAAGAGCTCCCTCCAGAAAATGATTAACCACTATGTTATTTTCTTATTACTTGCTTTATTCATCTAGTGTCAACAGCTGAAGATTTTATGACTTTTGTTGCCAGCAATATTGAGTCGTTGAAGTGTGTGATTGAAGCAGAAAACAACCTGAAAGAAAATGGACGCAGTTTAGCTTTACCCCTATTAATTAACAGAATTAGTAATTAATCTTGTGAGTAGAAACAAAAGAGAACTCAGGTTCAGTTTACTATTGGAGAAACTGTAGTATAATGGAATGACATAATCAAACAGAGAGTGTGCTTCATGTTGCCATGGAGATAGATTCAAATTTCTACCCCAATTTGTGAAGTCGGTTTCCCATTTAAAGAACTTTCTTGTCATCTGATTTTTCTGTTGCTAATTAAGTAGTCAAATAGCAAGTTAAATGACCCACCATCTCGAAGGATCAGTCCTTTAACTCAGTGTTTTGAGGTAGAGGACTTGCTTTGGAATTCTGCTAGCCTTTAACTTTACATCTGCTGCTTAAATACAACCTTTTTTAAGGTTTTTAGTTTTTGTAATTCATGCCTCAAATGTTCAGGGATTTTGTAAAAGCTTAGAGGAGTATCAGGATTACAAATAACTGGAATAACCTTGTGTACAGTTGTGTTCTGTGGTGTGTTATATAATTGGGCATCAGTGAATTTGACACATTGGGAGCAGCCAGAGATCCATTACCCCTTCACCAAGCACAGAGTGTCGCCCATAGTTAGCTTTTGGCTCGTCAGCCAAATTATTCTTTCTCTGGAGAAACCAGCCTCACCACAAAGCCTTTAGTGTAATCCCAATAAAATCAGAAAAGACACCACACTTGTCATCAGCTTTGGTGTTAAAGGAAAACCAAGCAGGTCTTTTTCTCACCATGAATGGTTTAAAGAAGTGTTTGTATTCAAAGCATCACAGTAATTTTTTCTCTCCCCCTCCAGGCGCAAGTTTTCAGCAGCAACCAACGGTACCTGTGAGGAGGAGGTGCCGGAGAAAGTGGGAGCCTGGGATTTTGTGGAGTCTTCACTTAGATCGCACTGCAGCTGTTCCAGGTGAGCCACTTCCTGTGTGGACACACCTTCTGTGCAGGTGTTTCTCACACAAGAGCTCAAACACATTTCAAAGAGGTTACACATAGCCTGCAGGGCTTTGAACACAGAGGCAAGGAGCCTGAGTCAGCAGAATATCTGCAGTCTACATCCTGGACTGTATAAGCATTTTAGCCTTCATATGTTTGAATTTATCTCTATTTAGTGTAAGTGAGCTCTGGGGGACTGAGGCCCAGCAGAGGTCTCACCCCCCCACAGCTCATTGGCCCTGTGCTTTTCTACAATGACCAGCATGTGCACGGATGCTCAATGCCTCTAAATTGTTGGCCCATTCGATAGAGCTGAAGAGTAGCTTTGGTCTGTGATTACATAGCACTTACATGACATAGTTGACCTTTTCTTTCAAGGATCCAGCTCACTTAAAGCACCTCTAATGGGAAATCCTTAGCTGGGGCTGAAATAAGCATCTGGAGCAGCTGGAGTGTGTTTATTTGTCTGGAGTAAAAATCAGTGTTTTGGCAGTAGATATGCGGAGGATGATACATTAGAATGTTGGTGTGCATGTGTTTAAATGACTCCTCTGCGGTTTTGCATGCTTTGATCCCCAATTGTGGCAACTTTAAAATAAGAGGCGACACTTACTCGTCCGAATTCCAACTTAAAAAGAGTGGTGACCCACCACAGAGGCTGATACAACAGCGATCCATTTGGCATAAGTCTGCAGAGATGGATTAGTTTGGATGTGGATTAAATCAATGGTCACAAAAAGTGCCAAATACAGGAAAGTCTTGTTCTTAAAGTCTTCATCCTGTTCATTTTTTTAATTGGATTTAATAGTAAAAAGTGTTGTTTCCTTTGTGGATTTGATGTTGCAGTCTTGGCAATTTAATTACTATGTGAAGTTTGGCGGTACTAATTGATTATTAAGCCTGCCCTTTGTTGCAGGAGACAGTAACAAAGTTAATCAATGCTTTTACAATGAAGCATATGTGAGGATTTAGTCAGATTTTAAATTGGTAACAGTTGAGCTCTGTATGTTTGGAAAATTAAGAAGTCCTCCTTAAGCATCTTCCTGATTTGTTTCACCGTCCTGTGTCTCTGTTTATCTCAGTGTCTAATTGTCTGATCGTATTTTGCTTTTTCCCCTGCAGACATAAATCTGTAAAGCAGCGAGCTGGCAGCACCCCAGGCCAGACTCAGTCAGCAGGCCAGCCCTCTCAGCCCCCAACCAAGCACAAAACTGGAGGAGAGAAGCCAGAGAAAGGTGAAAAGCAGCAGAAACGGCCCCAGACACCCTTCCATCATCGCAGCCTGATCAGCGACGAGACATCCATGGAGACAGAAGCAGCAGTGGGCCAGCGGCTTTCCATGAGGGCTCAGGACGGAAGCAGATTTCGTTCGGCGGATGTTACCACCATCCCTAAAGCCCCCCAGCTTCACAGCGGGGCGATCAATGCAGGTCCCACAGAACAGGCTAACTCCCCCCAACCTCCACCACTTAGCCCCCACCCCTGCGAGCGAGGCGAGGATTCAGGGGAGGGCATGAAGAACCCTTCAACCCCCAACAGTCAACACTTTTACCAGCCGCCCCCGGAGCCCTGTCTGGTCGGGGTGAAGGGTGGCGGCGAGGAGCACGGCGGGCAAGAATGCCTGAATCAGCACTTCCACACCCACCACCACCCTCACCCTCACGCTGCAAGCTCTGCCTACTCTGAGCCGCCTGAGCCCACCGTTTATGTGGGCGCAGCGGTCGACCTGGAGGATGACGGCTCCCACGCACCATGGAGGTTATACAGCCTTCCCCGCAGGAAAGAACCGGAGCCCACGCCGCTGCTGCCCGGGGACAAGCTGAGGGACGAGGCCTCGGCCTCACAGGATTTCATGTCTGTCACAGAGTGAGTGGCTCCCTCTAATAACCCCTACCCCATAAAGTCTTTCACCGTTAGTCTGAAATCAAAGTGAAATGTCGGTCTGTCATCAGATGACCTGACAGATTGACCGGTCATCAAGACCCGAAGCTGTGACGTTTAGGAAAAGTCACCCAACTTTCTTTAATTTTTGCCCCAAGTGCTTTGTCAGATCTCCTCCCACCAGCTTTATAATGTCCACAGTCCTTACCTGCTCACAGCGTGCTAATCTCTTACTGTTTACCCTTTTCACGTCACACGTCACCAAAGTGCAGGGCCAGCACCACTCTTTGATTCCCGCATATGACTGCCCACTCTGCAGGGCTCAGAGGAACAGCAGCAAATGGTCTAGGCAAAGATGAATGTTAGATTTTGCTATAGAGTTTAAGCTGATAGAGTTCCAGCTTTGCTCGCTATCAGTTTGGCGAGCACCAACAAGACACTCTCACCAAGAAAAAGCTGCTGGCATAGGAGCCCGAGTGGAAGGTCTGAGGTGGGGGTTTGTCCACTGTGAAGGAAGGCAGGGAGAGGAGCAGGCGGGAGGGTGGGTGTATTGGGGGAATTATCTATGGGGTTATGCAATCCCAAGGGGCCAGCCACTTGGATGGCCTTTTCTAGTGAGCTGTAATCCTTCCAGGCCCAGCTCTGAATGATGGCTAATCTCTTGCTCAGGCCACTGCACACCATCACCTTGTATCATAGCTGGACAAGCATGTCGAGCGGGCAGAGGCACAGAGAAATGTTGGAGCCGGTGAAGGAGTGGAATGACACATAAGTTGGGTCAGTCCCTGCTGTCCTGCCAAGCGCCCCCACCCCCATCTCTCTCCCCTCCATCCTTCACTGGTTTATTACATATGAGGAACAAGTAGGCCACAGCCATAGCTACATAAGGGAATTTGAGGAGTGATGCCACTCTGATAGATGGTAACTGTACTGGTGTATGAACAGACTTTGCAGAGGTGACGGTGTTTTTAAAAAAAACAAACCCCAATACAAATATAATTGTCTGACAGCAGACATGAAGAATGGGCTCTGCCTCTTGGCAGCTGTCAGAGCTCTTTGCAGTTGCTGACATTTGTGTTTCTGCAGGTAAACATGCTAACAACACTGACATGTTGTGAGCTACCATCTGGCCGAACAAAGCAAGCGTGGATTTGATGAATTTCCCTGCAACAAACTGTTCCACTTTTACATAAATTATATCTACAGTCGCCGTTAAGCAGCTCCTAGTATCTCCTTATAACTTAACATGTTTGTTTTTCCCGTCTTTGGTTGTTTTTAGAGTGATGGCTACATCAAAATGTCCACTGAAAGTCTCTGAGGAACGGGTTCAAATGTATCGAGCCAGGAGGAACCAGTACCTCTCTGCTGCTGTGACGGATGGAGACCATGAGCCGGAGGTGGACCCTTATGCCTTCGAGGAAGGCGATGTCAAGTTCACATTCTCCAACAAGAAGGATAAGGCAGGAGGAGAGCGTGAGCCAGGCAAGAAACATAAGGTAAGGCAAGCCAAGTGCAGGAGTGAGTAATATTTCCAGTCTCAGCCCTGTTATATTGGATGCTGCAATGAATTTATTATGTCTACGTTTCTCTAAATATGTTCAGAGGCTGATGGTGAGTTCAGTATATGACCACGGCGTAACAGTCAGTCTGGTCCCATATTTCTACTAAATGATCAAGATAAGGATGACAGACCATAGAGTTTTTACCACTTGTTACCATAACAACAAACAGCAGCACACTTCCACACTGAAAAATGTAACCTTTGAGTGACTCACATAAAACTCTGTTTCCCTCAACAAAAGCTTCACACCAGCCCTCACATCTGCTTCAGCTTCCTTCATTTTACAAGCACAAATAGGTTTTTTGGTCATGAAGTCAATCTGTTTTTAAGCTATTGAATACGCTGGTAAAGCCTCCCATATGAATCACTGCCAAAACAACTAGAGGACTGGGGCAGTGCAGACTGTGTGCTTTAGCTAATGAGCTTGAAACCTTGTGAATTGGTATTTCGGAGGCTAACAGGGTTCTTCTACTACCTGTATCACTGCTGTTCCTCGTTAGTGTGAAGTTTAGCCCCTCTTTTTGTCCCAGTCAATATTATTCGTATTAGAGCAAAATAAAAACAATGGTGTGGTTATGAGGATTGCTAGAGTTGTTCGTTGTTACAGGAAGTATCAAGAGTAAACCATGTCCTCCTCCCACTTTGCTCGGGGTAAAAAGGGACATGAGGGCTGATTTTGAACATCTGGGAGCAGGCGAGGTAGAAAATAGGCCATCAGCATCCTCAGCAACACTGCACTAAAAATAACAGTGAGACCACTTTCTACATGCATCCGCTTCCACTGGACACGTCTAACTCAACAGTAAACATTCCTGAATCACTATTGTTGTTTCTGCCCAAAGGAACACCAAATACTTAGCATGTCCAGGCTTCTTAAAGTTAGGTTTTTCCCATTCGATCTGTCCTCTTCCTCCCCCGAGCTGCACTCGGCTTTTCTTATGCCTCTGAGGCTGTTGGCATCAGAGGCATTTACCCCTGCATTAGAAAAGGAGTCCCTAAAATCTCTGCTCTGGCTGTCATGTTTTTGGCAAGCTTCACAGAGCCACAAAACCTGGCTCGCTGAACAATAAAAAAAAATATTAAAAAAAGCGCACTCAGATATTTCCCTTTTCCTCGGTCTGGTGAAGACCGCGTTATTCCCCCTATCGGGGCTTTGGTGTTCGGGTGAAAGCAGCTCTCACTGGAGTGAAGAGTCCCTGAAGAGGATTTTGTGCAGTGGAGCACCTCTGCCTGCCTCCTTTAAACGGTGTGTGTGCATCCACCACATCTCTGTGGGTGCCTGTGCACACAGGAGGATCCTCACTCTTATTTCTGTCTCTTAAACTAGTAACTAAGTGAATGTTTCCATTATTGTACCTGTATACACAAACTCCGAGCTACTGATGCTCCATCTGAACCTGGTGCACGAATGTATCAAGTTGCATTTAATGATCCTCATGAGCCGCTTTTGTTTGGTGTAGTTTTGTAGCCCGACAAATATCAAGCATTCACTGCTCATCAGAATACTGAACGGCCTTCTGATTGCTCACTAAGCTGTTGAGGTCTCGTGTGAATCATACATGAGCATCAAGAGGCGATCAGACAATCTTTCAACTGGAGAGCCATTGACTGCACTGCTGGTCATGTGATGTGCCGTGAAGGGAGGAATGCCTGCAGACTTAAGCTGAGGAACCAAGCCTCACATAAATGAAGGAAGAAAGAGGAAACGAACAAGGCAAAGAGATGCTCTCATGCAGACATCCTGAGAGCCAAAGGCATCTTTTTTAATATGCAAAGACTGCGCACAGGTACTCTCTCTCACTCAAGGTTAATGTATAGACCAGGGGTTGAGGTATTATTACCTATAGATTGTGGCCTTGCTGTGGAGTGGGCTTTTAAGGGAGACAGTTTAAAACTTGCATTAGTCGGAGGGTAGCCATAGAGCATAATGAAATCAGTGGTGTTGACGTAACAGTCCTGTCCTCCAGCACACTAAATATACACAACCCACCATAAGAGCACACACTCACAGTGAAGGCCAGATGCTGAGGCCATTGCTTGGATCAAGATTTCATACCGCCTTTTCCCAGGAATCCCGGCAGAGAGAAGCAGACCCAGCATCTTTCCAGTTTATGTTCTGTTATAAAATGTGTTCATCTCTTTCATGTAGTATTTCAGTTTGTGGCTTAAATAGATTCATGCATTTCAACTATAAAACATGAGTGAAGCACCTCGTCCGGGCAGGGCCTCCAGCAACTTTAAAATCTATTTATTTCCTCACCAAGAGGAACGTTTCAGGGCATGTTCGCTCACTGGTATGTGGCTGTATATGTGTCCATTAGGCTAACCTGCATGTCTTTTTTTTCCCATTACAGGGTGAAGATGGAGCAGCAGGTCCATCAGATGGTGAGAACCTTTTTATTTCCTGAGCCTTATTTCACCACTACAGATTCAGCGAGGTTAATGATCTTCTTGAAAAAAGAGCTAATAGAGCAGCTGCAGCTGCACAGCTGACATTTACACATTCACTCTCTAAAGACCGAGATAGTGACACCAGAGAGATTGCAGGTTGATGCAGATTGACAGTTAGCGTTCATTCACATTTGCTTGGTGGCATACTCAATAAATATTTACGTTTTACAGGTCAGTTCATTTTGAAAATGGAAGCCACTTTCATTGCCTCAATAAGTAACACTCACTCTCAATTATTTCTAATTTATTTGTCATGGAAGAGATTTTTCATGCCACAAGCATTGTAAATATATTAAATTTGGAAAGAAATCAACCTCCTCTTTCCTTTAAATTAATGTGACTTTAGTCCACTTTGTCAGCGCAAAGCAACATTTTTTATTCACAGAGTTCTCTAGCAGCAGGATTCTAGAAACCCAGCTGTATTTGGTATCAACATCAGTGTACCTCTTTGCAGACGCTCAACGTGCGGCAGCCCACAATCGCATAGCCCCGACCAGCTTGATCCACGAGACGGACCTGGTTGTATCCATCAATGACCTGGACAACCTTTTCAACTCGGATGAGGATGATCTGGCGGTGAGTGGAGACCTTGGTTCGCACTGCATCGGATATCTCATTACAGAGTGTGCTTTGGTGCTGTGTGCTTTTGCGTGTATGCGTACAAGTGTGATTTCTGTGGCATTTGTGCGTCCCCTCTCTGTCCTCCATCAGCCATCAGCACTCACTTTCAGCTGCTGTTAATCCTAAAAGATGTAATTTGTGTTCCTGACTCGCCACTCCAACAGATGTGAGAGATATAACGTTGGTGAATTTAGAGCTGTTCTAACTAACTGATACTTGAAAGTAACAAGCAGGTGCTAAAACGTCTCATTTTTCTTTCTACAGCCTGGCCCCAGACGACCAGTGAATGGAACAGATGAGAAAATTGGCAGCAAGGAACCAAAGCCATCCACTTTGGACCCTGTACAATGCATTAGTATGTATCTCTCCATCTGTCTCTACTGATGTCACTTCTGCTATGTCATCCCCGAGTTTCCTGTGTCCACATGGGTGGATTTATTACAAGTGTTAGTCTAGTATCACATCCATCAAGCCTGTAAACCTCTTGAAAATTAAGAATGGTACTCCTTAGTTTTGCCCGACTCACTCGGTTTCAGATGCAGAGCTCCTTTTGTTCGCAGTTGCAGTAAAGGAAATTAGCTTCATTTTCCTTAATCCACTCATTAAGATGAGGGCTGTCACATTTAATGCTCACTCTTGGCTTGGCCACCTAGTGGTGAACATTATGTTTGAAAGTGACCTGACAGTCCATCATTCTTTGGCTCATAATCAAGCGAGAGGCTTCCTGCAGCTACTGCGGATTCAGCTCTGTTGCCGTTGATTTGAGAATATGTGAACCAGAAAATAGGACTTTGTTTGGTTTACTTGGACTTCAGGGCAGTGTTGAAAACATTAGTTATTGTCCAATAATGACTCGTAAAGGTAATTAAGGGGAGAGAACAATTTACTATGAAATGAAATTCGTCTTCTCTCAAGCACTGTCTTTTGGTTTTGTTCAAAGATTCTGTCTTTTCTTTGTTTTTTTATTTCACATTAAGATGTGTGTATCCTGCTAAATGCTTCTGGCAGTTATGTGATTAGACATCAGCACATCTTTGCATTTTGCCTCTTTAACAGGAACCTCGTCATTTCGGTGTAGGCTTTCCCTGTGTAGATGAAAGCAGCATATAAAAAGAGCCCATGCTTTTTATCCGCCTTTCAACTTTGTAACGGCAAAACTCAAGCAGCTCTGACTAATTCTGTAAACAGACTCGTAAACACACATTATAAAAAAGAAAAGGGAAAACCTCTGGGAAAATGCCAGGATAGTTGTGAATAACAACGTAAACGTTTCAACACTCATGTCTCAGACGCTTGTTAGACCTGGATCTGATTTGTACTTTTTTCACATTTCCGTGCAGCCGATTAGAGCAGCGGCCTGTCATGTCCTGTCATGCAAGCAGAGCATCCCATTGTACATCAGAACCTCTGAATAAGTGTTCTTTTGATATCAACAGATTGCATATTTGCACACTGAGAACTTGTTGGTCTTCTCTTCCTCCAGGTTCTGCAGATTTGCACCAAATGTTTCCCACGCCTCCCTCCCTGGAGCAGCACATCATGGGCTACTCCCCCATGAACATGTGCAGCAAAGAGTACGGCAGCATGGAGCCCATCACGGGCATGACCATGCTGGATGGCACCTCGGCTCTGGGAGGCCACTTCAAGATCGAGGTGGAGGAGAGCTTTTGCAGTCCCAAACCATCTGAGATCAAGGTGGGTCTGGACTGTCAATCATTTGGGTTTTTATGTCAGCACAACTGACAGCGCCGACTTCATTCTCATGGGGTCAGACTGAAATACAAAAGGTGAATTTACTGGCAGAAGCAATAGATGTCGTGGAAAGAAGTGACTGATGAGCTCATTTCGAAGCAGCTGGGTGGCCTCGGGGTTAGAGACTACCCTCCCGTAAAGGAATCCAAACCTCAGTGTTCATCACAACAAACATCTGCTCAGCTCAAGTGCCCATGGAAAAGACTGCTTAAACCAGATGTGCTCCGCGGCCATGAACGGAAACTTTACTTTTGGTTTCCCTGTCTGTTCGACCTTGGGGGAAAAATGATTATCTGTGATGTGCGTCGCTGATAAACACCCATAAATCATTCATTAAAATCACGCTCATAGTATCAGAAATCGCCTGAGATTTTTGCCCACTTAAAGTTTTCTTCTACATCAAAGTAATATGGCAACGATTTACATGCTCTTTATCAGTTGTAAAAATAGTGCTGTAAATTATTGCTGATCATTGGTCAAGATCAAGGTAAAGTCTGAATTAATGTTGTGTATTATTTATTTATCTATCTGTGAGGCTTCAGTTCTGCATGACCCCAAGCTTCTTTTACCAATCAGATCTCTCTCTTTAGTGTGACCAGCACATTCACGCCTTGCTTTTTGTGCTTCCCCTAGGACTTTTCTTTTGTGTACAAGCCAGAGCTGTGTCAGGCGTTTGTCGGCTGCTCCATGTTTGCCCCACTTAAAACGTTGCCCAGCCAGTGTCTCCCACCTGTCAAAGTACCAGAGGACTGCATCTACCGACCAAGCTGGACCATGGGCAGGGAGATGCTCAACCCCGTGCCTGTAATGAGCTTCCTGAACAAAGACAGGTATGAGGATGGTAACACAATTTCTTTCAGTGAAATGGTGTGCCTGTTGAAAATCTCCCCTTTAATAGATTGATGTTTTTGGCGGATTGTCTTTGAGGGATTCATATTTAGACTCGCCTGTTCCAGGTCGTGTCTGTTATTTGTGCCAGGAGGTGTATGAATTCATGCTCTGTCCTGTTTCTGTCCACACACCAACTGTTCTCTCGCTGGACTCCACCTTAGCTGGCAGCTCGATTTCCCATGCATGGCTGCCTCAGGCGATGGAGGAAAATGAGTGTAAAATTCCCTTTTGGTGGAAGACAAGGATTATCACCGGAGTGATGAGAAGGGTCCCCCACAGCGGCTCCGTGCCACCTCGCTGCTCGGAGCAGCTTGGTGTCTTCAGCATATCTGCCACTGCTCCTCTTAAACACACAGCCTCAAACTGCACTCTGTTGCTTTCCATGCAAACCTATTCTAATCAGCAGTATGTAGAAATAATGCTTTATTGTCCTTTTTTACTACATCTTATTTAATTCATTTCAATCTCATTAACCTTGTTATGCAGTTTTGAACTTTACGAGATCTGCAATTGTGAAAACATGCCTAGAGTAGTTTTTGGAGAAACATGACATGAGGGTTACTGGTTATTATTCACCATTATTATCTACTCCTGCTTGATTATTTAGATTCACTTTAGAAAATGGAGAAGAAGCAACAGTCTGGGTGTTTGTTTGTTGTGACACTGCTGGTGTCCTAAACCTGCCTCACACGTTCACACCTGACCGTTGTTTTATAAACTTAACGTGATATACAGAAAATTGTCCAGATTATTTTAGCAATCTTTCCTTCTTTCTCCGCTGCTGACTGCAACAGAAATGTTATATTCTCTAGAAAACATTAAAACATTACAAAGCTAAAGTTGTGTAAGGCTTCTAAAGGATGAGAATCCTTAAGTCACATGTGCTTGGAGGAGGACACATTTGTGTTGCTGTTAGCCTTAAAGGGTTATGGTGGACACGCAATTGTCCTAATGCGGGTCATTAAAGACCCTAAAATGTGGCGTCTGAGCTGCCTTTGGTTCTTAATCCCATGGTAAATGTGCTGTGGCTGCGAGACCTGTGCTGGGACTTCCTTCTAATGGATCTGTGCCAGAAGTTGTTTCCCCTCATAGAGCGAGGGACATGATGTGCTCACCCACCCTCCCCCTCTTTCTGACTCTCCCATACACACTCTTTCCCTCCCTACCTCCTCGCGGTTGCTTGCCAGCCCAAAAATAGCCCTCACCTCAGAGGAGACGCTTGTTGAAATGTTTATTGAATGTCTTTCCCTGTGCTTCATTTTGCTACCCGTTTCTCTCCGTCTCTCCTCGGCATTCTTGTTCTCTCATGTGTAAACATGTGCGCAGTCAAAGCCCACTCCACATTCCTCCTGTAGTAAATGTCGTCTTGCCCTGTTGCCTTATTACTTGAAATGTCTTCACAAATTCAGCTCGACAGTTGGAAAACGGTTTATCTAAAGCAATGACCTGAATGTCTCTGTTCCTGAAAACATTGGGAAAATGTTGTGCTGGGCATGTTCCTAGTAGAACACTGGCTGTGCCATACAGTACAAGTATATAAGAGGAGTTTCTTTTAGCAGGAACTGATAATTCTGACACATCACAGGCGTGCTGTTAAGGACTCCAGGACAGAAAAGTGCTGCTGTATTCCCAGTGTGCCTTCCATTCTTTTCTAATTTGTATTCTTTTAATCTGTTTTTTCCATAGTAACATCCCCAGCGTGGGCAGCACCATGGATCAGGACTACAGCCAAACATACACCCCTCAAACCCATACTCCCTTTATGTCCAACAGTGCTCCACCCAGTAACAGTGGCGCTGGCATCCTGCCCTCACCGGCCACCCCGCGTTTTTCAGCCCCAACCCCACGAACGCCTCGCACCCCACGCACACCCCGTGGGCCCTCAAGTGTCCAGGGCTCGCTCAAATACGAGAACTCGGAACTGTATTCACCAGCATCCACCCCCTCCACCTGCCGACCACTAAACTCTGTGGAGCCGGCAACAGTACCCTCCATCCCTGAAGCCCACAGCCTCTACGTCACACTCATCCTCTCCGAATCGGTCATGAACCTCTTCAAGGACTGCAACTTTGACAGCTGCTGCATCTGTGTGTGCAACATGAACATCAAAGGAGCCGACGTGGGCGTTTACCTGAACGACCCCGGCGGCGAGCCCCAGGAGACCTGCAGCTGCGGCTTCAGCGCCGTGGTCAACCGGCGCTACGGAAACGGCTCAGGACTCTTCCTGGAGGACGAGCTGGATATCATTGGCCGCGGCTCAGACGTCAGCAGAGAGGCCGAAAAGCGCTTTGAGGAGCTGCGGCTGTCCTCGTTGGAGAAAACAGGGGTGGGAAGAGGAGACCGAGTCCCAGATGAGCTGATCCTGCTCATGCAGGACCAGTGCACCAACCCCTTTTCGCCCATTTCAGTCATAGAGCACGATCCGGTGACACGGGGGCCAAGCGGGGCCCCCGTGCCCCCCTGTGTAAGAGTAGAGGAGAGAGACTTTCACAGCGACTGCTACATGGCCCTGGAGCACGGCAGGCAGTTCATGGACAACATGTCCGGCGGGAAGGTGGACGAGGCGCTGGTGAAGAGCACCTGTCTGCACCACTGGGACAAACAAAACGGTGAGAAGCCAAAAGAACCTGTGGGACATCTTTGTTTTTTACATGGAAATTAAGTAGCTGAATGTCTTCAAGAATGAATCTGATATTATGATTATTTGCAGAAATATTTCAACCTGCATCTACCAAACATTTTGAGCAAGGAAACCTTGGATAAAGAATGTTTTTGCCCCTCATGTTTTGAACGGTTTTCCACTGTTGTTCCTCAGCAGTGGACGTGAGCACGCTGTGCTCTAACGACGTGCTGCGGGTGCTGATGTCTCTCCAGCCTGTGCTCCAGGATGCAATCCAGAAGAAGAGGACAATACGGTCGTGGGGCGTTCAGGGTCCCCTCACCTGGCAGCAGTTTCACAAGATGGCTGGACGTGGATCTTATGGTAAATCTCTACTGACAAACCTTCCAATTTTGAACAACGGTGAAGCTTTTGGTTGTCATTCTTGCTTTCCTTTTGATAATAACTGCGAATCTTGTGGTGTAAAATATGCTGAGATTAGAGCTCTGAGCTTCCTCAGATGTCAGATCTGTTGAGAAGGACTCTCATTGCACATGCTCACTATTCTTTCTGTTTCTCCCCACTTTCAATTGGGTCTCCCCATCACTCCCAAAGGCACAGATGAGTCTCCAGAGCCTCTGCCCATACCTACCTTCCTTGTGGGTTATGAGTATGACTTTGTGGTACTATCTCCATTTGGTCTGCCCTACTGGGAGAAGCTGCTTCTGGACCCATTTGGCTCCCAGCGGGACATCGGGTACCTAGTTGTTTGTCCAGACAGTGAAGCCCTGCTCACTGGTGCCAAGAGCTTCTTCCGAGATCTCACCGCCGTCTACGAGGTAGAGGAGGAATTCTGCAAACCCTAAGCTGTTCGGTCTCAGACACATATACTCACACGCTTTCTTTGACATTTCACCTCCCTCTCTGTTTGTTTATGTAGTCTTGTCGTTTGGGACAACACCGGCCCATTTCGAAAGGCTACCCTGATGGAATAGTCCTCGTTGGTGGAAGTGGAGCCAAGAACCTTGTGGATCAGCCAGTCAGTGACTGGTTCCTCAAGGCTGCCAGCAGCAACAGCGACGCCTTCGCCAAGCTCAAACTCTATGCACAAGTCTGTCGCCACAACCTCGGTGAGTGTCTCATTTATTAGTCTTAAACTCTTTTTATTCTACATGGCCCGTGGTTGACCCGGTGTTCGGTGTTCATTTCAGCTCATTGTTACTCAGTTTCCACCTTTAACACCCTTTGGTTCAGCTGCCATAACAAAACCTTTTTATAAAAAGGCAAGCCAGAGAACCTTGACTGCCTCAAAAGAGCAGATACGATGAATTGAGATCAGTGTATGAGATGTTGAAAAGGAGCACAGTGAGCATTTTTTATGCTGGTGCTCCAGAGACGGCAGTAGCTGAAGGCGTTTTGTGTTCTAATCATCTGTCTTATTCTTGTGAATGTTAGGAACATCTTTCTTCAGTTTAGTCAAAAACATTATGTTGATAGAAGAATGAACTGATTATGACTTGTTAGTTAAAGGTAGCTGGCCTCAAACACCATTCTTGGTTGTTTTTACTGGCCTGAAATTGAACACAGATGCCGGTTTGTTAGATGATGACATTAATTTCAGGTAATACACATTATTAATGTTTTTTTTTCACAGCATTCACAGCTACTTTAGAGTAAACTACATCTGTAACTGGTACACTGGCACCTTCAAAGTGGTGATTTGTATCAATTAGTTTTTGCTTTCTTATTGACAAAAGGCCTATCGCTTTTTTCTGCCTTCACTCTTTAGCTCCATACCTCGCATCACAGACGTTAGACAGTTCCCTCCTCACACAGCCCAGTCCTCCTCCCTCATCCAACCAGTCATCATCCACACAGTCCAGCTCCACCTCCAGCACCGGCAGCCAGCAGGGCTCCTCCGTTCCCAACAACAACAGCAGCAGTGGCTCTGGAAACGGCTCTGCGTCATCCAACAGCCTTGGGACATCTTCAGGACAGCCTGGCAGCACAATTCCGCCTGCCAAGCCCAACTCTTTCCCCCCTTTTGGAAGCATGAGCAGCCAGGGCTCCCAGAGTGGACAGCTGGGACAGCAGGCTGGTACCCAGAATTCTGGCACCTCAGGGGACAACTCCAGCAGCCAGCCGCAGGGGCCCGCAGAGCCTCCCGAGAGGTACGGCAAAACAGGATACCTGGGCAGTTTTTAGAAAACAGTGTGAACGTTGCTGTGAAGTTAAGAATGTGGATTTAAGTTTTCCAATTGGTTTTGATTTTCAAAATCTGTAAACTAAACGAAACAAAGAGCCGAATGTGTTTACTTGGGGAAGCTGAAATAGCTTTTCCATTCTCTGAACATCAGCCTTTGGTGCCTTTTCCACAGCACTTTGGAGCGGGAAAAGGTCGGTGTTCCCACAGACGGGGAGTCCCACGCTGTGACGTATCCACCTGCCATCGTTGTTTACATCGTGGACCCCTTTAGCTATGAGGAGACTGATGGAGGCTCAGGGCCAGCGGCAGCCCACTCCAGCGTGTGGACGCCAGGCCTGCTGCGCTGTTACCTCGAGATGCTTCAGTTCCTGCCATCACACATTCGCAATTCTATTTCTGTACAGGTAAGAAGACATTCTGTTTGCCTTCACTCATCATTTCTACGCTGCTAACTGAATGAGGCAGGAAGTGTCTGTGGAACTAAAAGTACTCAAAGGTTAAGGTGTTGTCAGTGGCGTCAACATCAGAAAGAATAAATTGTCTTTTTTGAATAACTGTAGTTAATTTTAGAGTTTTTCAAATATTTTAAAGTCACAATCTGAACTTTACATTTTGATTATTTATGCTAACTTTCCCGTTAGAGATGTTAAGAATTGATGACCTCCCTCTCTAAAACATATTTTCTCTTCTTTTGTTACTAATCTTAGATCGTCCCGTGCCAGTACCTGCTTCAGCCTGTACGAGGTGAAGATCGTCAAATCTATGCCCAGCACCTCAAATCTTTAGCCTTCTCAGTCTTCACTCAGTGCAGACGGCCTCTGCCCACCTCCACCAACGTGAAGTCCCTGACTGGATTTGGCCCAGGTTTGGCCATTGACACCTCACTAAAGCGCCCAGAGGTAAGTGCAACTTGAAGCCAAGCTGTGACCTTAAAACCCTTAATTGCTTTGACCCGATTTATCTGTGCAGTGGTGACAGTTGTTTATACGCAGTTGTACTTCAGCTTTTAGCATTTGCCACAGTACGCTGATAGACTGGTAGGAAAAGAGGCACTTGACACGGCGCCCCAGCACTAGCCTGTTAGTTGCTTATAGCTTTCCAAGAAGACATTTTCACAGCTCAGCCCCTCGCCGTGGCTGGATTCAGTCTTCCACTGGATAGGATTAGTTTTTAGGCCTTACCATAATCAGGGTTGGTCTTTATTTCCCACTTTTTTTCTCAGTAGAAGAAAAATAACTTGTAACTCCATGGTTTACCTTTTATTATCTACTTGGCTAGCCTTCTGAGACCTTCATAATGGGATTTTGAGTCTCAGTTTAGACAAAGGATCACCTTAGATCAAGCCATGATTAAGTTGTCTTCTCTTGGAATCAAGCTGTGCTTATAACACACTGACTAACCTTTTGCTGCCCTTAAGCATAGCTGTAAGTAAAGTTAGCACAATATATTTTTAATTCAAACATGTTAGAACATACGCTAAAATGCAAAGAATAGTTTTCAAGTGGCCTTTCAAATTCAGCAGTTATTTAAATGTTTATCAGTCACAAGAGGGCTGTTTCTGCTTTTTTTTGGGAGTTGAGGATTTATCCAGATTCCTCCATTCCCTCTCTTGTGCAGAGGCCAGAGTGTCTGCGGCTGTACACGCCTCCGTTCATCCTTGCACCAGTAAAAGACAAGCAGACGGAGCTGGGGGAGACATTCGGGGAAGCATCACAGAAATACAATGTGCTTTTTGTGGGATACTGTTTATCGCACGACCAGCGATGGCTTCTGGCCACGTGTACTGACCTGTATGGGGAGCTCCTGGAGACCTGTATCATCAACATAGATGTTCCCAACAGGTGGGATGACGTCAAAAATACATGTACTCCCACCATCTCTGCATTTGTCCCTCCCATCAGTGCGCATCATGCATCACTAGATGTCCAAACTAAACTATTTGACTTTTTCTAACATGTATTTATATACGAAACCTGATTTAAGTTGTGTTTGTGTGGAAAGTTTAATCGGTTATTATTTCCCTCAACAGGGCAAGAAGGAAAAAGGGGTCAGTTCGACGGCTTGGCTTGCAGAAGCTCTGGGATTGGTGCTTGGGATTGGTACAGATGACATCAGTTCCATGGAGAGTCGTCATTGGGCGTTTGGGCAGGATAGGACATGGAGAGCTAAAAGGTACCGCACGCTGTTGTGGTGAATTTTAATATCTTAGAAGAAAAAAGAGTATTTCTGTGTTTTTGTGCTGAAATATCAACCTGCATTCCTCCTCTCTTTCTGTTCCAGACTGGAGTATTCTGTTGAGCAGGAGAAACCTCCAGTCACTCAGTCGCAGGCTAAAGGAAATGTGTCGAATGTGTGGAATCTCTGCGTCCGACACTCCCAGCATCCTCAGTGTCTGCTTGGTCGCCATGGAGCCACAGGGATCCTTTATCATCATGCCAGGTACTGAATGAGTACATTTGGGCAAATTTTAAATAGACTTACATCTGTTACTTTACATCACTGTGCACTACTCAACTCAGAAAGGCAGCAGTGATCTTTATCTGTCTGTGTGTGTGTGTGTGTGTGTGTGTTTGTGTGGGTGTGTGTGTGTGTACACGAACGTAGCATGATGGATAACGACTACATATCACAGAGCACGTCCCCCTATCATCCAGAGCAGATTGATGGCAGAGGAGATTGTGTACCTTTTGCTCATAAAGAACGACCTCTCCATCACACAGCATTGATCTTAATGCCATATGATGGAGAGCCACCTCAATAGGTTTATTTTGGAGAACTAGTGGAGGATTGTCAGAGCATCATACGGGGATTGTGTTGAGACACACTAGGCTGAGTGCATCTCCTGCTGGAAAAGCTCACAAACTGAGAGAAGGCTGCTGCTTTCAGAGGATGATGACTATGGGGATTTGCTCTACATGGAATTGCTGTGGTGACACAAGTGTTTTTTTTATTTTTATTACATCATATACGATCATATGAGACTTCATCCAGTGGGTTACAATGAAATCCAACCAGCCTTTGTTCATCATAGTATTTACTGATTGACTGGGACTGACTGCTCTCTGTTCCTCTTCCCTCTCAGACTCTGTGTCGACGGGCTCTGTGTTTGGCCGCAGCACCACCTTGAACATGCAGTCGCAGCTCAGCACCCCCCAGGACACCTCCTGCACCCACATCCTGGTGTTTCCCACCTCCGCCTTCGTCCAAGTCGCTAGCTCCAATTATACTAACATCGACACCAACATCGACATTCTCAATGCAACCACTGGTGAGCAGGGCCCTCATCTCCCTTTCTGCCATTTCCAAAGATTCTTCCTGGATTTAGTATTCATCTTTTCTCTCATTTGCAGGACCCCCAAACAAACTTGTATTAAATTACAACTTCTTTTTTCCTCTTTTATGTTGGCAAATCCTGTCTGCTTACTTCTGTAGTATATTAGATCCCTTGTTTTGTATGTATGTGCTCCTATTCCTAATGCATCCACAGTGCTCTCCAGAGTCCTGAGCCCATTTGCTTTGTAAGGAATTTGCTTCCTGAAATGTAAAGCATGTGTTCTTTCAATTTAAGTTGTTCTATACAAGCGCTTGCCAACAAAAATGGATATCGTGCTCTGTACTACAAATTGGAAAGTGAAGAAAGCCTTTTTTTAGAGCCTATTAGGTGTTTTTTTAAGACAATAGCAAAATTTGATGTAAGAGAAACATGTAACCAAGAGCTGTTCTCCTCTTCCCCGCAGATGGCTCTGATGGTATTGGGATCTTTGACCTGCTGGACCAGGAGAATGAGTTAGTGGACCCAGACATCATCAACATCTCACCCACCACCTCACCGGTACACTCCCCTGGCCCTCACTACCACCACGGGGATGATGACTGTAAGGTGAGGCAAGCGTGCACACTCTGGGGCCATCAACAGATTTGAAGTGCAGCGTGTCGCGCGATGCATTGCACGATGGCTGATGTCCATCCTTCTTTGCAGGGCCAGAGCGCAGACCGGATGGAGTCTCATGAGGAGGTTCCTAACCTCCTGCAGCAGCCTCTGGCTCTTGGCTACTTTGTCTCCACGGCGAAGGCCGGCCCGCTACCGGACTGGTTCTGGTCCGCATGCCCGCAGGCCCAGAATCAGTGTCCACTCTTCCTCAAGGTATCACCCTCTGCCTGTCTCAGGTGTTTGAAGGATACAAAACTAGACTTGATATTTTCCTCCTGTTGGGAATATTATTGATCTTTTCCCAGTCCTATCAACAGAACCAGAATGCACCAGTTAAAGCATTTAAGTGGAACAAAAGTTTCCATTTTTTGTTTTTTAAATGTTTATGGCTGTCATATCCTGAACAGAAGGTCCATTGATCTTGAGGTCACCAGCCAGTGTGCAGCACCTTGTAAACCCACAACTATTTTTACATCAGTGAACTTTGTAAAAACATTTTCTTAAACACAGACTGCAGAGACACTCAGTTGTAAGGTTTTAGGCACAAGGGCATCAAAATGATCATCTGGTCTTATCAAGGTTCTACAATTAGTTCAATACAACCTTAGATCAAGAACAAGACATGAGAGATTACACGGTAAGCATTTGTTCAGCTTTGATCTCATTTAAGACCTGATTTTACGGCCAGCTGTTCGCGAGCAAAGCGGGTTTGGGCCTCTGTGTGTAGATACACAAAGATTTTCTAACAACATCAGCTGGTTCTGGAGTTTGTTGCAGACTCGCTGCTGCCATTATTCTGAGGTGAAAAGATTTAGAATTATTGAGGTGAGATTAAATAAGGGGCAATATCTTTGTTATAGTGCCTCTGATACCACTTCTCTCTGCTCCCCCCTCTCAGGCCTCTTTGCACCTCCATGTGTCTTCAGTGCAATCAGATGAACTACTGCATAGCAAACACTCCCACCCCCTCGACTCCAATCAGACCTCAGATGTACTCAGGTAAACAGCTCCACAACACCTGCTCTCTCAACAGAAGAAAACAAAGTGCGGTTAGCTACCAGATTTCAGTGCTTTAAAGCATAGTTTTAGAAAATATACAAAACTGCAGGCGTCATGCTTATGATTCGTTAATTGTTGAATTTAGCTAACGATTTGGTGTTTTTTTGTTGTTGTTTGTTTGTTTTGTTTTTTTAATGAGCAGATTTGTGCTGGAGCAGTACAACGCCCTCTCCTGGCTGACATGTGACCCGGCTACACAGGACCGACGATCGTGTCTGCCCATTCACTTTGTGGTGCTCAACCAGATGTACAACTTCATCATGAACATGTTGTAACCAACAGCCTGTTACAGGAGCGATGTCGGGGAAAAGTTTCAGAGCAAAGCGACTGTTCCGGATGAGGTTTCATCACGCGAGAAGAAAAAAGTACAGAGCTGGATCCTGTACCGAGAGTGGGCCGAAGCCTTTTCGGTCCCATCACTTGTGGCTGTTACTGGTTGACACAGTCCTGTCCCTGTGATTTAAAGACATTCGCATAGCAACAAGGGAATGAGAATAAGACAGAAGGAAGTTGGTCTGTAATTAATGAACGTGAGAGAATGACAGATTGATTGTCATGATGTGTGGCATGACAGCAGTCATTGGCCAGTCTGTTTTGGAGAGTCTGTCTGTAAAGTTATTGGAAGCAAAGGGACATATTTGAACAAGGAAAAAAACTCAAGGATGGGTCTTTGGTTTTAAGACATGAAATTCCTTTTTACAGCTTTGGATGAAATATTATCCAAATGAAATGCCTGCATCTATCTTATTTATTGTAAGTTTTTAAATGTATAATTTGTCTTATTTCTTAACTTCTTTTATATATAAAAATGGAGAAGGTTTATATCACCTTCCTGCTTTAAAGCAATTGGTCTAAGATATATGTAATCGTCTTAATTAATAAAACAACCAGGAAAAATCCCACAAAAATTAAATAAAGTCCCAGTAGGTTGCTTTTAGAGTATTATTTTTTGTAATGGAGACAGAATATTTGTATTGTCACATTGTACAGAAGAATTAGAGTGGAGAATTATGTTTCATGCCTTTGAGCATGAAGGACTTACAGCAAAGCTGTAGCTACAGAGAACTTGTACAGCAATGAACTTCACTGTGTTCAAATAAAGAGGTACATTGTTGTATATAGTATTTTATACCACACATTTACACAAAACCAAACGGCAATATATATAAATAATTATATATGAAGGCCATGCCAGCAGCTGGTAGCGTGGCTTCTGTTTTAGGAATAAAGTGCGTCAACTTATTTACATGTGCTTGTGTTCATTGCTTTGGGGGGGGGGGATAATGATGTTCAATTGGGCAAAGACACAAATGGAAGAGTGGAAGGACCTATTGGCATCTCTTGAAGTGGCTGACCTCAGGTTTGTTTTTCCATTTTTTTCTTTTTATGAGGAAAAGAAAAGGAGGCTGGAGACATAAGATACTACTCATAGTGCACCTCTCTTAACTGCGATTGGCTGAGGTTTAGCTCTTCTGGCGCCACTTCTTTTTGGTTATTGGAGCATTTAGACCAGTCCCATTTTACTTCAACGTGAAAGTAAATGTGTGGTGTAAATGAACGTTAACCAGCTGTGGATGGCTGCCTGTTGGATATGCAGTTTTTGCTCAAAGAGGGAGACATAAACTCTGGGCTTCTCTTTGGAGGAAAACTGTACTTTCATTAGTGGAATTCCATTGACTTTGCTCTTTTCTTTGCTATTTTGGCAACATTTATTGGCTTGGAAAAATTTGACCATCAAATGTATGTGGTCTTTTTGAGTGTAGATAAATACATTCATTAATTAATAAACCTCTGAAAATGGACTTTGCCATGGTTTCTTTGTGGAAAATCATGGTTGTTTGCAGCACCTGTTTCTTTTCATGATAAGTCTGCATCTGTGCAACCACATTTTATCCATAAGTGGTAAAGGCACTGAAATAAACCATAATGAAAAGACACAAAGTTCTCACTTGCAAATTGTTGAACTGCCTCAGGGCAAGTTAACTCATCTGAGATTCTGTTAAGCATTTCCCCTTGCTGTCGGCCTTCAAAAGAACTGATCCAGTCTTGTTTTATTCATTTCTCCACAACTACCAGTAGAGTACCCTTGAAAATGTAAAGGATATAATACAAAGTTGTCATGGTAAAAGTCAACAATATCACAAAAAGCTGCATTGCAGCCTTTTTTTAGGCAATAGAATAAGATGTAGCAATATCAAATAAATTTAATTATAGGCCAGTCAGTCAAATAAATATATAAACAAGTCAGTGTGCAACGGGAACCTGGTTTATAAAGCCCAAAGTATAATGTTGTCTATAATATAATGTTAACACCACAAATATGGCCCAAATGTAGGTCATACAAAAATTCAACTGGCTGAATGTATTATATAAAATTTTAAAAACAAACTCCAGAAATCACTTGGTGTATAAATGCGTTATTATTAATATAATTATTATTAATATTGTCTAATTCTTCATTTGAAATGATTATTTCACCAGCTGATTGTTTAGAAGCTTAAACAATCTGCTTCTAACGCAGTTTGTCCATGTTTCATAACGCTGTCTGCATTAAAGACAAAAGTGGTTCAGTTCTCTTCAAATATGCTCCAGCTGTTTGAGCACAGTATATTAATCGCAGTTTGTTTGGAGGGGAACAGAGCAGCGATAAGGGCGTAATATGTATTCAGTTTAAGATTGTCCCCTAGCACGCCGGCATCCACCAGAACAAGCTTCCCTGTGTTTGGCTCGGGAGGACTCTTCTCTAACGTTAGCCGCTGGGCTGACAGCACACCACAGTCCGAGGTCAGGAGGCCTCCATAGTGCTTTTTCTCTTGAAAGTCTCAGAATTATCTCCATACCTTAGGTAAAACGGGTTTGTTTCTAAAGTTGTGCGTACTTTGATTCAGCAGAGACGGCATGCACCATGTTAACATTATTGTCCTCTGACTTGCTAGCTTAGCTTAGCATTAGCCGCAGTAGCATGCTAACATATGTTAAACGAATTGGTACAGTGTCTGTTTTAGCTAGCCGGCTTGTAGCTAGCTTTATCGAGATTTCGGCGTACCTTACAGTATTGCTTCTTTAAAACAGGCAGCGCAAATATTTCTGCGTTGCACTTGCGAACCGTAATAGGCGTTGCAATTGTGTCAAGTAAGTTCCACATCAGTGAAACTTTAAGGTAGTTATTCCGCACATCATTGGCAAACATCAATATTAACCAGCCTCAGTTAGCGACGTGATTATAACAACTTAAACGTTACATTGTCGCAACCGATGGGTCAAACGTCCAGGCAAATATACTGAAACAATTGTATTAGCCATATATCTACCTATTTAAACGTTGGGTTTGATTAATGATTGAATATATATGGATAGCCCACAATGATAACAGTTCATTCAAGCATCTGTAAGCTGAGCTGTTTCCGGCTTTGCGGGGTTTTAGAAGGCTTTTTTGGTTTTGTGATCGGACGCATTAGTGCATTTAGGGCCACGTCACGCTCAACAGAAGTGTTTCAGGTTGCATATGAGTGAAGTCCTCACTTGGCTGGGTTTGCATGTTCCCACAGGGCTCAGAGACAGAAATGGCAGAGAGCGCAGGGCTGCAGTTTGTCAGCCCCTTTGCTTTTGAAGCCATGCAGAAGGTGGATGTGGTGCGCCTGGCTGCCTTAAGTGATCCAGAGCTGAGGCTGCTGCTTCCCTGTCTGGTGAGGATGGCTTTATGTGCCCCTGCTGATCAGAGCAACTCCTGGGCACAGGACAAGAAGCTCATCCTGCGCCTGCTCTCTGGAGTGGAAGCTGTCAACTCCATCGTAGCCCTTCTGTCGGTGGACTTTCATGCCCTGGAGCAGGACGCACGCAAGGAACAGCAGCTTAGGTATCAAATGTGTTTTAGTGTGGATTTAAAATGTTTATTAACTCATGCATACATTGTTAAACCATAGTTAATTTTAGACTAATTTATCATTTTCTGGCAGACACAAAGCGGGTGGCTCCAATGGGGAAAGCATCCTGGTGTCCCAGCTACAGCACGGCCTGACCCTGGAGTTCGAGCACAGTGATCCACTCAGGAGACTCCGTCTGACCCTCAGTGAACTCTTAGCTATTATGAATAAGGTATGATCGTTATGTGCTTCAAAGAAAGACAACTTTTTTTTGTAACAAAGATACATTTTTGATGATAAAAAAAAACAGTTAATTCCTAGACTATTACATTTAGTACTTATGGTGTTGTCTGTTTGGTTAATGACAGGCATGCGGGAGTTCATTGATCAATTTCTCACTTAATCTGATTCGCTTAATTCTGTGTAATATCAAAATAGGGAGCTAAGATCTGCTGCATTAATTTAATTGAAAAAGGAAGGGGACAAAGGAATTTAACTAAACAATGAATGGTGTTATAGCCTCTCACCTTTACAGGTGAGAAAAAGACATTCTCATGAACCCGCAGCTCCGAGCACAAGAACAAATCTTTAACTGCTTTCTTTATTTATCTCTGAAAAGATATCTCAAATTACGCCCAATTTTCTGGCAGCTGCTCTCTCATTGACTGAAATTGGATGTTTCTCAGCAGCTTTGTCTTCATCTATTAGGACGCCATCGGTGACAGATCCACACCATCTGTTTTTTGTTCCCTTGTTCTTCTTATTTTCAGGTGGCAGACTCCAATGGGGAGTTTTTTTTAAAGTCCTCTGAGCTCTTTGAGAGCCCTGTGTATTTGGAAGAGGTGGCAGATGTTCTCTGCATTTTACAAGCAGGTACACAACTTTCTTGATTTATTCATGTTTTTTTCCACTGATGTTGGAGGTGTTTTACGATTAGAATGTTGTTATATCGGTCTGTTTGCTTATCAAAGGTAATATTAGAGGCTGATTTTACCTTCTAATAATGATATTAATTAAAATAATTTTAGTCTGCGCATTGTTAACCAGAGGCAATATGTTTCATGCATTGCTCTATAAGCAAAGTTTGGAATCCAAACTTTTATTATGTATTTAAATAAAAAACAAAAAAAATTATCTTTTAAATTTCCCTCTCCCTGTGAAAAATATCCGACAATTTTGTTTTAATGAAAGAATTTCTGTATGTCTATCACACACTTATGTGAGCCAAGGTCTGGGCTAGGTTCCAGCCAGTCCTTATATGCCAGCTAAAGCAATTTCAGATCTCATTTTCTTAGTTAACTCCAGGTGTTGACTATCTTTTTTTATCCAGGCAGTGTATATGTGAAGTTATATGGACATATTGATCGGATTATAAATCCAAAATATTTACTTTATATGGCAAAAACAAATCATTTCTAGAAAGCCAGCTTGTAAATAATCATATTACATGTTTATTAAGCCAGCTGAGAACATATTTTCTTCTGTGTTTTTGTTCCCCTGTTAGAATTGCCTTCTTTGCTGCCCATCGTGGACGTAGCAGAGGCTTTGCTTCACGTGCGCAACGGCGACTGGTTTCTATGTCTGCTTGTTGCCAACGTGCCTGACAGCTTCAATGAAGGTAATTCATCCGTCTTCCAACACCGCACATCTGTCGGCAGATCCTGGAAGATAAAGTGGGTGGTTAATTGGCAGCACTAATTTCCCTTGGTTAGTCAACACTGCCTGCTTCTGCAGACAGGATTTGACTTAAATGGTCTCAGAACATTGCTGTGATGGCTTTATTCTGATTATAGGTATATAGTTACCAAGGTACCACCTCACACTTTGAGCTTAAATGCTTGCTTCTCTTAATTATAGCCATGCCACTGGCCCAAGTCTTTGATGGCAAACATTGATGTCTCTGACTCACATAGACTGCTGTTTGTGTGCTTCTAAAGACAAAAAAGAGCAGAATATTGTTGTCACCAACATGTACTGCTGCCTCCTTATAACACATAGGGCAATGTTGAACTCAGTTACGTTCATGATTTTTATTCCCTGAACATGCTGCTAACCACCTGATGCAAAGCGTCAATTTGTAGAGTTCCAATGAATGTCCTCAGGGGGTTAAGATTTGCCTATCTTTCGTTTCAGTCTGCAGAGGCTTGATCAAGAACGGGGAGCGTCAGGATGAGGAGAGTATGGGTGGCCGGCGCAGGACCGAGGCCCTCAGGCAACTGTGCCAGATGAACCCCTCACAAGCCCTCAACATCAGAGCCATGGCGGTAACTTGCACTGTTAATAGAGTCACAAGCCTCCAAACTGAGGCCACAGACAGACTTTGTCTCCAGTTTGCTAAAAATGAATTTATGTGAGAAAAGAGGTGGATTCTGTAATTTTTGAACTGCCAGCTTCAATTTTAGATATATTTATGTCACTGCTATGCCTCATTAGTTTTTTTCCTCTGAATTTATTATGCATGTGTAAACTACAAATGTATGTTAACATATTTGTCAGCACCTTCTTTGTAGTACGATGCTTCAAAGAGGAAGTGTTTGTCTTGCAGGACGCCTGTGTTTGCAGAAACATGGCTGAATTAAATATTGAGTGTGATCTCAGCATAATTATTTACTGTTAACACACATCTTTAGTAGGTTCTCCCCATTAGCACATTAATTCAAGGCAGCACTGCAAGCTTACAGAGATCAACTCCCATCATAATGGTTACTGAGAGAGGTTTTTCTCTTTGCTGTGGTGGAGGAACCCTGGGGGGAGAAATTTGTCTTTTCGCTTTGCTCCTTCTCTGAAGGAGGTTACAGCACTGGGTCACTTATTGAACAAGGCCCCAGGAGGTCGTGGAAATTCATTGAATGACGTGTCAGCAGGACTCTTGCTTGGTATATCCTGGGCAGAAGCACTCAATTGTTGATGCGACGCAGATCTTAAAGTGTTTCAGAACCGAATCTGTCATGGACTTACCCGTACTGGGGTTTTGCTGCCTTATGGATCTTATACCGTTATTGTATGATTAATTAACCATGTGAAATAAATCTGTGTTTCCAGGTAGAGGAGTGCCACCTGCCTGGTCTGGGCGTGGCTCTTACTTTGGACCACAAACCGGACACAGCAGATGAGGCGGTCAGCCCGCTCGTCTCTTACGTCAGCGGCCTGCTGTTGGGCACCAACAGCAAAGTGCGCACCTGGTTCGGCATGTTTATTCGCAATGGGCAGCAAGTGAGTGTTCAACAGTTTCTCTGCATTGTTGCTCTTTCTCAAATAAAAGTTGTCCTGTGTTAAATGTGCTAAAGTCCTGCATGTGTGTAACAGTGGTTAATTTCAGGTGCATTTACTTACATGCACTGTCAGTGAGCCTTACAGTGCACGTGCATATACACAAGGAAAGACGTAACGAAAAATATACATAAGTCTGAATAAGAAGCAGAATCTTAAACATGAGTGAAATTGCGAATAAACAGGTCGATCTGGATTACGGCCGCTTAATGACTCACCCTAACAAATATGATTTGGTTCCAAACCATAGCTACTAAGTATTTGAATAGTACTTATTAAAATGCCAACTGTAAAGACAGGTCCTTAGATAGGCCTCTGAATTAGAGGGTACCTGCTTATATGGTTGATAACCTAAGCAGCAAACAATATGAGCACACTGTATGGCAGAATATAGCAGTGCACGAACACACTAACACCCACTCACACGTCTGTCCTCAGAGTTCAGCATCATGCACTGGTGGAGGTTTGGTTTAATGCCACCCACATGGCTCTCTGTGTTGTCAGCTCTGGAATTAAATGTCACAAGTTTAAGCTAACATTTAAGAAAATATGTCAAAGATAGAAGGGGGATTGTGTGTTTTTACTGCCTGCTACCGTTTCCGCAGTAACGTGCTGATAAAAGCGATGCCCTCCTTAAGCTGGGAAGATAGGCCTCTGTGGTATTAAAGATAATGATGGAAATAATTAAGCTACATTTAGATGATCTGAATATTGCATTTAAATATGCTGCAAATTTAAAGAAATTGCTTGAAGAGCTTTACTGTTTAAGTCACTTGTTGAGAAAAAATAAAAGCCAAAACTGATCGAAGCTGTTAAATGAACGAATGTATGGACTCCTCATCTTCCTCTCGCTTTGTTTCTGTGCCGCCAGCGTAAGAGAGAAAGCAGCTCGGTGCTGTGGCAGATGCGCAGACAGCTGCTGCTGGAGTTGGTAGCCATCCTGCCACGCTCACGCAGCACGCACTGTCCCAACGACGACAACATGGACGATGGAGCCAGCTCGGGGTACTCGGGCCTCAGGGAGGAGCATGTGGTGAAGGCCAGCGCTCTGCTCCGCCTGTACTGTGCTCTCATGGGCATTGCAGGTCTCAGGTAGGACACCTTCGTTTTGTGTTTTTCGCAGCCTGATTTCAATGTAAATATCTTACATCTCATTTCCTCCCCAGATTTACCATTTTTAAAAGTCATCGTAATAAGTATTTCCTTTTAGACCTACAGATGAAGAGGCAGAGCAGCTTTTGCAGCTGATGACCAGCCGGCCCCCGGCCACGCCTGCCGGGGTTCGCTTCGTCTCGCTGTCATTCTGCAAGCTTCTGGCCTTCCCTACCCTGGTCAGGTACATGAAGCTGGTCTTACTGTTCACTGCTTCTAGCTTTAGTTATACGCTAACAGATGAAGCTCACAAAGTCTTCTGGTCTTGGATTTTGACTGATCAGTGATGAATGCTGCATATTAAACAGAGTCTTTATGTTTTTTGGCATTTGAAAAATGCATGTCTGGACATGTAGTGTAAAAGTTCTCCTTTGTGTTTTTGTGCAGCACTCCAGAGCAAGAGCAGCTGATGGTTATGTGGCTCAGTTGGATGATCAAAGAGGAGGAATACTTTGAAAGGTTGGTAAATCTCTGTGCATGTCCAAAAAGTGGAGTATATGATTTGGCTCACAAATAGAGGGATATAATAAATAGACTGACAGGAAAAAGGGAGATTGAGCCGAGAATTAAACTACTGTCATCAGATCAATCCATCAATGGAATGGATGATTTTACAGAAGTGGTAATTCAATATTGCCAGATATGTGACTTTTTAATGTTCACACATATTCATAACACACAAAGCAAAACTTCTTATTTTGTTGTATTGCTTATCTTTACTTTAATTGATCTTATTTAAAACATTTTTATTGAGTTTAGTAAGGGATTTTATGCTTCTGTCATTGAGCCAGACATTACATTTCCTGAGACTTTCATAAAAAGAACAGAAAAAGTAGAAAAACGTAAACTGGCTAAATAGATTAACTATATCCAGTTAAAATTAATCATGCTGTTCCACTGTAAGCAGTTCATATTTGTTTTGTCTATCTCCTGTGATTGGAAATGTCCCTTTTGGGTGCTGATATGAGCAGGGTGTGATTAAAAAACATTTGTTTGAGTCTATTAAAATGAACTCAGTGTGACCTATTATAGAAACAGAAGGTCAAACGAGCGAGCGCTTTTTTGTTACAACTTTAGTCCATAAAGCATAAACCATCTTTGGTTCCAAGTGACGTTAATTGGACATTAATCTTTATAAAAGGGCTGCAAAATGATGGAGGGTGAAGGCTGATTCAGGAAGCATAATCAGTTTGTTGAAATTGTGCCCAGTAAGATGCTGGATTATGAGCAAACCCAAATGCTTGTCCTCAGCTGCGTCTCATGCCTGTGCGTGTCTTCCTCCTTACAGTGCTGCAGGCGTATCTGCTTCTTTTGGAGAGATGCTATTACTGGTTGCCATGTATTTCCATAGCAACCAGCTCAGCTCCATTATTGAGTTGGTGTGCTCCACTTTGGGGATGAAGGTAAGGTGTTAGGTGGGAGGGAGACATTGATCAATACATCTGTCTGGCCGGCCAGGTATTGGACACACTTTCCCACCAATGCAGTGGCGCGTATATAAACATCACAACTCTAATGAAACACTTGCAGCATGCACATATCTAGTAAGACACTCCATACCCTGTGGCCAATTTGCCGTTTTATTACTTATTAAGTGCACTATTGTTTCCACTCTGTGTGCTAAGTAGTTTTCCTGTCTCAGTGTATTTTCCACCAAGATGTGTAATGTAATTGGATTCAGAGCCTGTTTGTTTCCACCCCAAAGGCATTCCTTTCAATTGAGCGTTGTGCCTGCCATGTAGAATTTTCTTATGAAATATGAAAGGAGGGAATTACAAAATACCAGCACTGCTGCCTGCAGGATGTTTTCACTCACAGCAAGCCTATCGCTGTCAGTGGTTTTTATTGTGTATTTATTTCTGCATTGGGGGCATTTAACTTCCTACAGATTGCCATCAAGCCCAGTTCTCTGAGCAAGATGAAGACCATCTTCACACAGGAGATCTTTACTGAACAGGTGATAAAGAGTTTATTCTTTTGTATTATTGTATAACACATTAACAGGGTTACAGGGAATAGTGTGGTTATTCTAAACAAAGCTTCATATTTATATTACTTGAGTTTCATTCTTTTGTAGTATCCCATAACTTTTTTGTACCCCACTATATGTATTTGGTGATATGTAAAATTAAGGTTTATTTGTTATAAATTTCATTTTATTTTGGAATATTTCTGTTTTTTTTAAACACTGATATTTTTAGTGTAAAAGTTTACAAATTCTCAAAATTTAAAGCAAAAAACAAGAAAAAAAGTTTTTTTTCAAGCCTGATCAGACATTTCGTGAAGAAAAGGAGTCTGTGGTGGATCTTTGTCTTTTACGAATTGTGTGTTGACATTGTTTCTGTTACTCTTTTTGTGTAGGTGGTTACAGCCCATGCAGTCAGGGTTGCAGTGACCAACAACTTAAGTGCCAACATCACAGGATTTCTCCCCATTCACTGTATCTACCAGCTGCTTCGAAGCAGAGCCTTTACCAAGCACAAAGTGTCCATTAAGGTGCCACACGCACACTGTGACTACATCACATCTACTACATCTGTCTACGTTAACAGTTCTCTTGCTAATTAGGGAAATGTTATATAAATATATATAAAATTAAAAATAAAAAAAAATGACTTAAGGGTTGCCACTATATGACCCTATAATCAGCATGTTATTATCCATCATATGACTACTCTTACAACAAAAGCATATTGATTTGGCTAAAAGGCGTTGTCCATTCTGTCCATGTTTGAATCTTTCAGGATTGGATCTACCGTCAGCTCTGTGAGACAACCACGCCCATCCACACCCAACTGATTCCTCTAATCGATGCTTACATCAACTCCATCCTCACTCCCGCATCCAAGGCTAACCCGGAGGCCACCAATCAGCCTATCACTGAGCAGGAAATCCTTAATGTCTTCCAGAGCTCTGCAGCAGTACGTCATCCCTGAGACTTCCTTTTCCCTTTGTGCTTTAATTTTCATCATAATTTTTTCATTTGTACAAATAATTCCACAACTAATATTTAGGAACCACAAACTGTAATCAATACTTGTTTTCTTTAATACTAACAGGTATCAGACTCTCACATTCACTGATACGGGCTGCACTTGATGCCTAGATGTTATTTTTATTCCTTTTTGTTTAGCAGGGAGACAGTACTCGAGGAGGACGGCAGCGCTATTCCATCACCACGCAGCTGCTTATCCTTTACTACATCCTTTCTTATGAGGAGAACCTGCTGGCCAGCACTAAACAGCTGGGTATGTACGAGATAATAACTCGGTCCCAACGAAAACGCAACACTGTGTTTGGCCTCCGTGTGATGTTGGCTTGCTTTCTGTTCTCCTTTGAATCTCTGAAGTGCGCGCATTGTCGTTGGCTTCTCTAAAGAATGCTTTATATGCAAGTCGGAGAGAATTTGTCAGGCAGCAAGAAGAGAAAGGAAGCTTTTGTCCTCTGTTAAGTTGTAGGAGACACTCTCACTGTGGATGAGCAGCCATTCATCCTTTTCTCTCTTGGCACTGAATGTTGGCTGCTTCATAGAAAATAAATGAAGAGCTGACAAAAAGCCAAGCACAGTGACTGCGAGAGCAAAGCTAACTAGGACAGTTGCAGGTTAGATTGAGCATTACCAGTAAGCCTGCTCAGTGTTTATCCTCTCACACAACAAGCTCTCCTCTGGCCCTTCATTAGGTCAGATTTATTTGAGAGTTTATGCTCATCTCTTTAATTGCTGTGTTTACCCAAGTGCTCCCTCAGCCTTCAAGGAGGGAGTAATGAAGCCCATCGGCAGTGGTAATGAACCCGCATCAATGAAAAATCACTTCTGTGTTCCTTTAACGCAGTGGAACTGTGGCTCTTGTGTCCCCGCATGACCAAATGAAACACTTTGTCCTTGTTCTGCGCTGTATACTTGCTGTTCACTTTTTTAACATCTGTGCCTCATTTATTTATTTTCATTTTTTAGCACTGATGCAGAGGAAGCCAAAGTCTTACTCTGCAGCTTTGATGGACCAGATCCCCATTAAGTACTTGGTTACGCAGGCCCAGGGGCTGCAGCAGGAGCTGGGGGGTGAGGTTAAAACTTTCCACATCTATTGGACAATTTAGAGATGCAAACCAAAGTTAACCTTTTTTCTCAAATTGATTTGGGTGATATACTGAAGAACAACCTTTGTGTGATTTCAGGACTTCACTCTGCGCTGCTCAGGCTGCTCGCCACCAACTACCCTCACCTTTGTCTGGTGGAGGACTGGGTTTGTGAGGAAGAGGTGACTGGCACCGTACCTCTGCTGAGGAGGATGATGCTTCCTTCCAACACCTGTAGATATACTCAGAGCCAGCTCCACCAGGGTGAGCAGGCTGGGAAAGACGGGGCTGTTTTGGGGAACGACGTGGATGAGGGATAAAGTCAATCCACAAATGTGTCATTAGGAAATGTAAAATGCCAATAGGTGCTCTAGCATTGTCAGATGTGTTCTTTGTATTGTTCCTCCAGCCTTCCAGAAGTTACCATCCAGCAGCCCCAGGCTGATGCGGATCCTGGAGCATTTGACTTTGCTTTCACCTGGAGACCTGATCCCGTATGCGGAGGCCCTCACAGCCAGCATGGCGCTGCTGCTGGAGCCCGCCGTGCCTCGCCGCCTACTGCAGACACTCAACAAGCTCTGGATGAGCCTCAACACAGTGATGCCACGAAGGTACATATCCGCATCTCATAGAAAATGCCTGACATGTAAATGTCTCAGTCACAAGTGTTAAGCCATCAAATCTGACTATAAAACATCAATATTCACAATGGACGCTGAACCAGATAATGGATTGATGTCATCCATTCAGTTCATACCTAAAACGTTTTTAAAAATTTATAGTGGGCTGATAACTTTCTAGTTTTGGACAAATTAAGCTTAGTGCTAATTGACTTAGTGCTGTCTCCAGGGACTGTAAAAACTAGCTGGCAGATTTATTAAAGGGGTTAAAGAAAGGCCTGAGGAGCTGGAATCACTGCCCTTAACTAAAGGCTGCTCGCTCAATGATTTTTATTCTATGAATAGATCAGTATTATTGAGCAAAGCAGCTCAGTAAGCCACTGTGAATTCTTCTGAGACGAGGGTCACCCTCACTCTGCCCCAAGGCTCAAAGGAGCACAGTCACCTCCGCTCTGAGCAGACATCCCATCGATCCAGGGGAGGCTTCTAACAAAAAGAGCTGAAAAAAGTCTTCATGAAGCAGATGCAAGGGATTTCTGCCTCCCTTTACCCCCTTGCATCCTCACCAATGTTGAGCTTTACAGACAAAGACAGATGGACGCCCTGGTGAATCCAGGAGGAGGGCAGCAGTGTCAGATTTCACATAGATTTACTGATTGATGCCATTGTGTGAGCGGCCCGAAGCCGCCGAGAACCTGTTGTTCACAGATCCATATTTGTCTGATAAGAGAATTTAAGGGGGTGAAATCCCACTGTAGGACTGAGCTTACATGATTTATCTGTTGTACTTCTTTATAGGTTTTTGTTTTTCAGAAATCAAATAGTTTCCAAAGAAAAATCTGTTCCATCTGATCCGTGAAATGCAATCTGTGAAATGAAGGGGAGAGTTAAAGCTGAAACCTGTGTGTGTGACAGGTTGTGGGTGATGACAGTAAATGCCCTCCAGCCTTCGGCGAAGCTGCTCCGGCAGCAGAAATACACTCAGAATGACCTGATGATTGATCCCCTGATTGTTCTGCGCTGCGATCAGAGGGTTTACAGGTAACCAATAGCATCCCCTCTGAAAAGGCTGAATAATCCTGCATAGTATGGACCATCACAACTAAACAAGCACACAATGAATGTCAGTATAATTTTTTGTTTTTGTTTTTTGGAACAGATGTCCTCCTTTAATGGACATAGTCCTCCACATGCTAAACGGCTATCTGCTGGCCTCAAAAGCCCACCTCCAAAGTCACCTGAAGGAGACGGCCGACTTTGATCGGCAGAGTCAGACCGTCTCAAACCTGGGTGTGCCCGGACAACCGGAGACACCAGAAGTCACCAGGGAAGAGCTGAAGAACGCCCTCCTCGCAGCACAGGTGTTCAACCACAAACCAAGTGTTTCCACCGACGCTGGGCCGTCACGTTTTAACCGCCTGTGTGTGGTCTCATCCAGGACAGCGCAGCGGTCCAGATCCTTCTGGAGGTTTGTCTGCCAACGTCTGAAGAGCAGCAGCTTGGGGCCACTACGGAGAGTCTTTTGAGGAGCATTCGGGGTCCGTTGCCGGGGAAACCGCAACAGGGAACGGTGGGGCCACCGGCCGCGGGGGGCGTGGAGGACCCTGAGCCTGAAGGAGGCCTGCTCAGCGACCTGAGGGAGGTGCAGTGCCTCATCTGCTGCCTGCTCCATCAGATGTTCATCGCCGATCCCAACATTGCCAAACTAGTTCACTTTCAGGTAAATACAGGACATGGAACTCATCAACGACCAGTAGATTAAATCCTCCCCGGTTTCATAACTGAGTCAGGTTGACCCCATTAGTCATCACGTTCTGCCACAGCATCAGTAATAAGTAACCGCAGACTTATCAAACAGCCATATGGTGGACTTCATCAAACCAATCAGTCCTGTCACACTAATCCAGCCTCATCCACCCTGCTGAGCAGAAGCTGCTGTGCCAATGAGGGCACTCGCACATGTGTAGAAAAAGAGCTAGAGTGGTGAATGAAAGCATGGATACTCACTGTGCCCTCCCTGGTCTTTGTAGTTTAATTATAAGTTTAATCTCCCCTCTCCCCCCCCTCACTCTCTGTCAGGGTTATCCTCAGGCCCTTCTGCCTCTAACTGTGGCCGGCATCCCCTCCATCCATATCTGTCTGGACTTCATCCCAGAGCTGCTGGCCCAGCCCCAGCTGGAAAAGCAGGTGAGGCCTTCCAACCCTCCCTCCCCTCCGTGTTCTGGCATTGAACTCTAAGTGTGTTTTTTGTGCAGGAGCCTCTTCCACATTCTTTTAGAGGAGCTCTACTGGGACTCTCCATTGAGTGTTTGCTTATTTGTTACAAACTAGCCGCTCTTGCGTTTGCGTTTGTGCCCACAGATATTTGCCATCCAGTTGCTGTCATACCTGTGCACCCAGTACGCTTTACCCAAATCCCTGAGCGTGGCCAGGCTGGCCATTAGTGTCATGGGGACTCTTCTAACAGGTCAGCAAAAAACTCTCTCTGTCTTGGATGTTGCCTGCACTTGTTAATTGTTGGATTCGCTCCCTGTAAGCTGACTGTAGACTATAAATCACAGTTCATCTGCACACAGGAGCCTTCAAATTTGATCCTTTTAGTTGGGTGCCACCATCTGGCCTCTAGATGTTAGTGCAGCGCTGTTTTTCACTTTTAAATGTCAAACATTTACCTCTCTGTAAGGCACTGGAACGAATATTTGCTTCTTCTTTTTTTTTATTCCATAGTGCTGACTCGTGCCAAGCGCTTCTCCTTCTTTATGCCCACCCTGCCGTGCCTGGTGGCTTTCTGCCAGGCCTTCCCTCCTCTTTACGACGACGTGGCAGCTCTCTTGGTACAAGTGGGCCAGGTTTGTGCTTCCGATGTGGCCACCAAAGCCAGGGACATTGACCCTCTCATAGCCCGTAAGTACAGCTCTATAATTGACCAGCATATTATATTTAATTTATGAGCTCAGTTAAGTTGTATATAAATGGTCATAGAAATTATTTCACCCATAATAAAAACTCACAAAGAGAATCTAAATGGCCCCTCATGAATTTTAAAAGTTTAATAAACCATTAAACAGACCCACAAAAAAAATCTTAAACATGACCATTAGAGGGATTTTTGCCTTTTTTTTCTTTTTTGTGTCGTTTTCATTGAGGCAGTCTGTCCAAACATCAACTTTGTTACCTTTTATTTAACTTTTTTCATTAAAAATATAAAGTGTCAGATTAAAAGGTAATAATTTGAGGTAAACTCTCCCTCAACAGGCCTGCAGAATCTGAAAGAGAAACCTCTGGAGGCTTCGGTTCCAGGAGGAGGCCCCTCTAAGCTGACTGTACCCCACAAGACAGCAGAAGACCTGGGGGGGGCCGACCCTGACGTCCAGCTCTGCTACTGCATCGAAGCAACCTTCATGGACATAATCAGCTCCACCCTCCACGGGCTTTAGGCAGAAAGGCTTCACTGGAACCAACAAACACTGCCTTTGAAAGACGCTGCTCACACTCCTCAGAGAGATTCTGTCCGCAGGTCTTCAGCACACTTTAGTTTAGGGCCTTCAGGTTTCTCAGGTTGTGGTCTCCTGCCATTCTGTGCACGTGAAGCCACGTGAACTGATGGCTGCATCCACTCAAGCTCGGCCTGGGTGCTGCCATCAGGCTCTTCTGTGAAAACAATTTCAATTCAGTTGAAGACTGAGAGCGCTTTGTCCCAATTTGTAGAAAGTAAAGTATTAAAACTTTTCAACAGATCTTTTTTTTTAACCTTACAGGTATATTTTTCTAATGTCTTGTGATCATTTCTTTTCCTTAAACTGCTCAGTTAAAATGTGGCTTTGAATTGTGTAGAGCTTTTTTTGTACTGTATTTGTTTGTAATAAAACAATGGAAATATTTGATTGTAATTTGCATTCTGCTGAGTTGTTCATGTTTTGGTCAGAATTCAAAATTTCCAGCCCTGTTTGTTTTTTTGTTCTTTTCTGTGGTCAGACTGATCATGTCACAGTTACTCTCTCTGTGTGGCACCTATTCCAGTGGACATGCTTAGATTTACTCACAGATGCAGAGGTCCATCTGGACATCTGCTTATTATCCAGTGATCTAAAGCCCTGCATAAGCACCGTCTCCTTATTGATAACAAAGGCAGTTTGGGAAAGTAGCCATGAGGGAGAGACCAAACATTTGCTGAAGATGAAACTAAACATGAAGAAGAAACTAATAATTAGTTTGTATCATGCTTTTTCTTGAATAGTACCAGGATAGATTTAGCTGTTTAGCTGCAAATGGCCAGATGGAATAACTTTTCCTTCTTGGTGTGAATTACGTCATTGGACTGAGTCCGACTCCGGAAACTGAGTCAGGTCTGCCTCACAGTAGGTTTGAATTCCACTTATCTGCCAATTCAAAACCTGTCAAATTTGGGAACTATCAGAGCTCAGTTTCCCATCTGCCTCAGCTACCAGGGAACAGACGGTTCAGATGAGATCAACAGGATGTTGCTCTGACTGTGGATCTGGGGGGATTTTTTCATGCTCACGGTGGATATCTCCTCTTCAACAAGCTGATTCTCTTCTTTGAGCCCCTAAAGCCACAGTCAAGAGCTCATTTCTTCTTGTCAGGAGTGTGTGACCTGAGCAGCAGAGCAGCATGTCCTGTTCCTGCTGCGGGAGAGCTGTGAGGCGTATTCTCTTGCCTTTTCTTCTCCTTCTAGTGATCAAGCATTAACTCATCCAGAAAGGTCAGGACAATCCAAACGATTTGCTCTTTCATTTTCTCCTCGACAGCTTTGAAAGTATTTCAGGTTTCCTCTCTGTTTGTCTCTGCTCTTTTTAGTTTCCTCACTTTCTCTTTCTGTGGGAGCTTTTGATGATTCCCTGCTTGAATGTTTTCTGGACATAAGCTTCTCTTTTTTTCTGAAGTTGTGTGAGCTTTACAAAATATCTGATGTCAGAATACTGTTGAAATCCATTTAGCATTAGATGGATAAGCAGTGCCAGGGGCTAATGCTGATGTAATATGTATGCTCCAATATTCTGCACCAGCTACGCTGACAGGCTGGAACCTCTGTGCAGTGATTTGAAAAAATCTAACCTTAAGGTGAGTGAGCATGTGTCACTCTGGGAGTGGATAGATTCAGCATTATGATCCCAAATCTTCATCAGAACTTTCCTGCTTCTAATCTAAGTCCTGCATTGAAGATGAAAGATTCACGGCATAAAGACTCAGACTTCCTGGTCTGTAAAAGATGAATGACCTGCAATATTTTACTGTTTACATGAAGGTATTGCTTAACTAACCACAAAGTAATCGCATTCAGGATTGAAACAAGACGTTTGTATGTTCAACACAAAAATGTTGAGAATGGTTATGGTTTAGCAGAGACTGATACCTTCTGCCAGAGATTCTCGACTTATAAAAGTCACTTCTTCTTACAAAGAAAACAAAAGATTTTTGCTAAATCATTTGGTGTTTGATACTCATTGTTATTATTTGTTTTTTCTTCTGTAAAGCCACAGTGATACTAAGAAGTGTTCGCTATCTAGTGCCACAGAATGTAACCGATAGGGAGGTTTGTCTTTTCCTGATATTATGACTGACATTTTCATGTAATTCACCAGAGGGCAGCCTTGCCACGCTGTAAAATAAAAAACCATCCTGATGATGACCTACAGAAAGCTTTAAAAAAAAAAAGATGTTTCAGAAAATGACATAATACCAACCAGAATATTCAAATACTTCAAAAACAAGTGACAGAATTTAAACAATTTAAATACTTGAATAATCGACTAACATCCAGAGCTTGTGTTTCTCATCCATCAGTGGAGGCACCTGGGTGCGTGCACTAATTCTACCTGAGGATGCTGCACTCTGGGCTTTGAGACTGGGCTCAGATCGCTTATTCTTCACCATGAAACTCAGAAAGTGACAGCACTAGCTGATTTTTCCCCTCTTCAAAACACCTAATAACGCACTCTCAGTCCCAGCAAAGTGGGCTTGTGAGAAGATTACAACTCTAAAGATTAAAGTAGCTCAGAAGCCATGGGGAGTTAATGTAAGAGTCAGAAACTCTTGGGTGGATTTGTTGACCCATTACACCACTTTTCTAAACAGAGTGAGCTCTGAACGCCTGTCAGACCTCCATCAGGTCAATTCCCCACCTGACAACTACTGTCTGATAACAGATGGTTGGAATGGTTGTAGGCCTTGAAGGGATCACTAATCTTTCAATTACCAGCTACATTCCTGATACATCACTAATATTTGCGTTGCTCGGATCAGTTCCTCTTATCTTTGCTTCTTCACGGTGAAAATGCGCCTTTCTTTACCTTATCAAAAGACACGGGGAACGCGAGCGGCTCAGATCCCCTCTACCCTGTCGTCTTGTACTGGGAGAAGCGGGGGGAATTGATTACACAGAGAAGGAAGACTTTGTCAGGCCTGAATGCATTTTTCACAATGTGTAGCCGGGAACAAAGGGACACTATTAGAGCTTTCGTAACACCCTCTAAAACTTTTGATTTCCCCCTCGGTTGAGCAGAAAGCCACGGGAAGACGGCGATTGAAAATTAATTGGCAGCATGTCAGCGGTGTATTTACATTTTGTTCTTTTAAAGATGCAATTAATTACAAGAGATGGAGAAATCTGTGGAGAGACGGGATGCGTTGCGTTGCCTGCTCTCTCCTCCCTGCAGACTGTCGTCTGCTCTGAGGGAGTGTAGGCAGGCTTGCCAATTAACCACAGACTAAAAAGGACCCAGAGCCCCAATGTTTCAGCAGGTAAAAATTTAAATTGGAAGGCGAGCGTTGTAATAGAAAGACAGTGGCGTGCAGTTTGCATACAATTACGCTTCAAGCTGCAGAAGATGTGAGAAAAATGTTCTCTTTCAAGAGTTTTGTAACTACTTAGAAAACTACTGCAAATTAGAGGCAGAGCAGGCACTCCGAGTGCTGTTTGCAACGAGCGGAGGTCTTATCATGCCTCTGCTTTGTGCCAAAGGAGGTTTTCGTCAACATATAGCAAACAGGCTTAACAGAAAGAGAGACAAAACGGGAGTGGAGATATTTTTGGCATATGCATGACAATAACATCAACACCCCCAGGTCTAGCCTGTCAAAACTCCAGGTTTGGACGGCTGAGTGGGGTAAACACCAGGGCATATTCACTAAACTAAGACATCAAGTTGTGCACTCTGGCTTTTTGCATGGCTAGTTTTAGCATACAGTTTCTGGATCCAAAAGGTCCTTTCCCATTGGGTTCCACTGATCCCCATAAAGATGGGCCTAAACGCTCCTCTGGTCTCCCCAGACTTGTAAATACAGCTCACAGTTGCAGCTATGCAAAAGGAGAAGCCCGTGTCAACAAAGCCAGGGTTACGCTTTCGTATTCCTTTAATGAGAAAACACATAGGGAAGCTGTCAGAAATGCCCCGAGCCAAAATAAAAAGTGTTTCTGTTTCATGCCCCGCTCCCTCCAGCAGCCACATAAACAGCGGCAGCACCCAGGAGTTGCTGCGGAGCTTCTTAAAAAGCAACATATGCTTTTTGTACTGGAAATACATTAGTCATGAGGGGAAGGAACGGGAGGGAGAGGGGGGGGGGGGGCACTGAAGTTGGCAATAACAACTCTGGTGCCCCACATTTCCACTCTGGCAGTAAGCGGGAAAAAAGTTTAGAAAAAACAGAAAGTTTGATGTTGGGACATAAAAAGGAATAATGGTAGATACCTCCGGAGCTCGGCGGCTTCACACGTTCCTGTGAAGAGCAAAGAGGGCCTTTTACGAAGCTTGTATAATTGATTCTACCCAGAGGTAACCCAGGGCGATCAGCTACCTCACCAGAAAGGCAGGACTGAAGCTGCTTTATTTTCTTTCCATGCCCTGCCATCTTTTTTCATGGGAGCTTTCATCTGCGGGTGTGAATGAATGCGACGTGAGGCAAAGCTGAATAAACATTATTCTGAATGGGTGATTGATGGTTCAATTTGGGTCCCTCGTTTCCCAGCGCCGGTGGCGGCGTTCACATAGATTATGCCGCCGATGGTCCCTGGCCAAAATACAGTGCTTGAAATGAATATGTCTGTTGGAAAACATCCAGAGCCTCGAAGCAAAGCAGATGGTGTCCAGTTCTGCCGTCATGTCCATATTAATGCCATGATTACAATGCATTGCAGTTGAGACATTTTGTCATTAAAGTTGTGATTTAAAAAGCTATTATGGGTTTTGATTATCCTCTGCCGCAGCCATAAGGTGTGAGTGTGTTGCTTTACTATTGAGATGAGGCCCATTGAAGAAGCAGATTGGTTTGTAAGTTTCTGACTGGCTGATGCCTAATGGCTGAAATGAGAATAAAGTGTGAGAGGGGGTAATTTGTGCATTAGACCGGTATCCTGCTGTATAACTTTGTAAGTACTTGGGTTTTCAGCCAACCAGTATAAACCTCAGGCTGGTTTAGGGGCCTTTTCTTTAGTTAAGATATATGAATAAAACTATAGTAAAGGGACCCTCAGACCCCCCAAAAATGAATTTATTAGATGAGCAACAATTAGTCCGGAATTATCATAATGGACACTTGAGAAACTGTGCTGAAATTCTCAAACTTTCCTCTTTCATTTATTTGAATTTTCATTTGTCATATTTTCGGCTTTGAGGGAAAAACAAATTCACAGATGATGATTCCAGCAATTGTATGAACCGATTATTCTACAAGAGGTGGAATGACAATCTCATAATCAGAACTGAACATTGTCCCTTAGATTCAGGCAGCAAAACCCTTGTGGACTTCAGGATGGACAAAATAAATCAGCTGGAAGAGCTTTGCAGAGAGGCTACAGCTGGATCAGATGAGTCACTAGACATCTGAAGCCAGGCGAGGATTGGGAGGGCATC